TGCCCAAACAACTGACAAGTTAGGCGTGTTTTCCTTAGTGAGGAAGCGTTGGTGTGCTTTTTACGTCAACACTGAACTGCATGTTTTTTTGCGCACATTTGAAATAACGTTAAAGTAAGGATATTACAACAGCTGAATTCTACTATTTTACATTAAAATGCAAGATCCCCAAGAGCGATTAGTAAGTCTAAGCAGGTCAAAATAAATTCGACTACGCATACTATCGTGTCGACCTAAATAGCTTATGTCAATGTGAATTGCGGTATAATCCAGCCAATCTTCGCTAAGTCTATCAATCCACCGCTTGTAATTACCAAAAGAAGCAAAAGACTCTGATCAGCAAATGCGAACACAAGTTGACCAATGTGTCAAATTGTTCCTCATCTTCCGCATTGATGGGCGATCAAAAATGGTACATTAGTGATCTCGGTATCTTCACCACTAGGGGGCTGGAAATATGACCTGCATATATTTAAGCATCCAAGTGGGTGTTGTAAAACCGTTAATTTTTTCAGGTTTCTAATTCCTCCTATGTTTCGAGGGTGTTCCCCCTTCCCCCAAAAATAAACTCCTGATGAATAAGTTAATCTGCTTCTTGATTTTGCTTTAATTGGTCACGTTGAATGGTAGAAGTCGCCTACCTGGGCATTTTCCAAACAAAGCACTTAGGGGTCCTGCTGTTTATTGGGGCTATGCCATAACCAAACTAATTAGGTAGAAAAAAACAACGTGGTAATGTAAAAGGTACTTCAATGATAGACCAATCAGAAGACAAAGAAGTGATGTCTTTTAATTTTCACCACCCACAGTCAACACATGTCTCACAATGCTCAGAGCAGCATTAACGTTACAGTTTGTACAGATGGATCTGGAGTACTTGTGTTAGTGAAGGAGACTGGTAATAAAATAGACGCAAACTGAAATTAATGCAGAGAAATCGTTGATTTCAATGCTCTGTAGCCTGTCATAGAATAAGACCTTATTTCGTGGAGGTGCAATATTTGTCGCAATCCGGCAAATGGCGTGCTGATGATCGCAATCACGCACAATTTGAATACGAACTACGCGTGAATGCCTTTACTCACCAAGATCGAAGTGAACCAGACCAACATCTACTTTACCGGTACGTGTTGATTGCCTCCTATAATCACAACTCCGTCTTGTGGGTGAATGAACGGGTGTGTTTTCCCCTCCATTGTACTCCTCCCAATGCCCTAAGTTTCGGGGATTGATTCCTGTCCTAACAAACAAGCAGGCCACACGAAATCGCGTTGTAACAAACTGATGACCGCAACTGACATCCTGCCGAAAAGTGCGCACGCCGATATGATGGAATAATTGCAACCTGCAATTAACACTGCTTATTCGTAGATTTATTCCATCTTTATCCGATGTTACGTTTTCCGCATAGCTTGTGATTGGGCTGAGTAGTGAGAATCGAAATTGTTGTTGTATCTACGAGCTGCAGATCGTGTCCTGCCTACACACAGAGGGTCATATAGTTCTCAGAGGCGCAATCCAACGACTCACAAATACACACCACTATGGTTGGAATCTGTGCAGTTTGTCAGTAGCGTCTGAGTGAAGACCTCGCCAATTTTCGTCCAGCGGTACTGGCTGCGTAGACTTCAGTCGACAAGCAGCTCTGTAACCGAGAGGCATGTGCCAATTGAACTACGTGAACCGTGTTAAGAACGGCTGCAACAACTAATATGCCATTGGATCTGCATCAAGTCAGTACAAAACCAGAGGACAAAAAACCGCAGCCCTCTATCCGACATACCTCGTACAGCCTGCTAAACACAATCAAGTATTACTCGCAAGTGTGCATGCTACCCTGGGAAGTCACTATAATTCCCCTGAGGTCCCGTCGGGACAACAGCTGACAACTGGAATTGGGAACCGTGTCAGTCAGGATGCAAACCTGGGTTGACTTGTGAGGTAGTGCTGGAGGAGGTCACGCCACCTCTAATGAAAACGCAGATTATGTGGAGGAAACAAAGTGTCAGGTGTGCGATGATGTTAGGTTTTGAACTACCCTACAGTCCCGTTCATGTGTGCCTAAGGGTCAATGCGTAAAGCCCAATGAACTAGCGTCGTTCCGTGAGATTTTCAATAGTTCACTCATTAGTAATGCGGGGCATTTAGACACTCAAGAACATCTGAAGTAAGAGTGTTGATATACGAATGATGTCATAGTTTTCCGCAAGGGCAGTCACACAACGCGTCCTTCACTACACATAGGCCAAGAAGAAGTTGCTCGTGTCACCTCTACACATTACAGCTATTGGGTTGTGTTCGATGCCTCGCCAATCCATCGGGGAGGTTTGCGAGTTGTTTTAGTTCGGGCACGCAACTCGCAGCTGTAGTAACATTAGTAGTATTAGGAGGGCCATCTAGTGCACGTCTTGTACGAAGACATCCAACAGCGTTATTGCAACTTTTCAGTGATCACACGTGTGCACACTTTGCTGGATGCTCGAGGTGTTTTGAAGTGAAGATAGTTTAAGCTAATTCAAACATTGGCCATGTGAGGCGCGGCCAGCTCCCACGAGATTGTGCAACAATCAATTATTTAAGGCTTATTCTAAACTACACAGAGTCCGTCCGATGCAGCGTCTTAACAGACATGTAATACAAATAAGTGCATATTCTGCGGGCTTCATGTCAGCAGCAGAGGTTGATAACGACAACATCGCGGCAACCAAGCATTTGACGAAGAGCCAAATGGCACTGATGGCGAGCAGACTGGTATCAGTTCGCCACTAAGAACAAAGTACCCACCACATTCTTCAAAATTTTGAAACCTCGGACGGAGATGTTTCGATTAATGAAGCGACTTGAGAAGAGGTGGTGGCCAGTGGACCAATCGAGGGAATGTCAGGCCAGGTGCTGATGCACAACAGCAGGGCACGTGTCACTAAACGCCAGGCCCGTAAATGTGCTTGCACTCTATCAGCGCCATTCACTTGGCCAATATCGCCAATACGAGTTCGTGACTCTAAAACGAGACCAACTGTACCGGAGGTGGGACTTGCAAATAGATAATACAGATCCACCAAAAAAAATTTATTTGATACACTGCAAAACACAAAATAGACAGAAAGGAGTAGCAAGTTAATTTAAGGTTTCTGTCGGACACGGAATGTCTAGATGGACACCAAAATAAAAAGACGTTCACACAGATCAGTGGTTGTAAAAAATAGTGCCTCAGTCGGAAGAAGGTGGTATTGGAAGTATCAAACGAAAAGGCGGTCCCTCGACATCCAAGGCGTCCTCACTTCCAGCCTCATAGGCGATCACTAGGTCGACGTATGCGTCCCCCGGTTCAGGCTCAATAAGCGAGAGCACTCTAAAAGGCATTCAATGAAAGAACTTTTAGACCTGAGACATCTGTCCAAGTCCTGTCTTGGGTGCTATTCAACTCCCCACCGAGAGCCAATATGGTGGAAACTGGTGAGGCAAAGTGGGGCTTTGTTAGCAAGTTGTAGCAAATGTGCATCATGCGTGTATCAAGATGGAAAAATGCTCCAAATAAAGGCCTCAAATTTGGCAAGATCGAAGCCTCAGTGACACACCTTCCAATGCATCGATTTAACCATTTTGGTGCTGAAGCCGACAGTACGCAAGATGACAGGAGTAGCAGTTGTGCTCAAATCCGAATTCACAAGTTTGAACCTACCACACTATTCACCGACTCACTGTTCAAACACATTTACATTAGTTTAGTGCAACACGAGTTGCAGCAAAACATCACAAACAGCATTTTCCAAGTTAAACACACCAGAACAGAGCTCCTTGCTCCGTTGGGAGCTCTTAACTCGAGCAAGCAATTCAACGGGACTTAAACATCACGTCACAATGTGAACAAATGACTCATCCAAAGACCTTTGCGGTGCGACATCGCTGACTAGATCAGGTGTAAATAATGAAAAGGGATGCAGCAACTGTTGATTTTAATCGCCTTAAGGAAGCACCACACGATCCGAATGCTGTTCCAATGTTTGCTGCTTCAAAGGAATATTGTGATATATTTGAGAAACAATTGGAAGTCCGTCTCAACCAAGACATCAACACGGTGATCCTGACATGCTCAAAACACAGCTCTCAGCCATCTCCATCCTACTAGAGTCACACAGACACCAGCGTTGGGTACGCATGTGCACACGGCCTCGAATCTGCTTGAGATAAAACGCGCACCAGTCATCCCGAGACGGTCTGCTCCCGACAACACTAACCGAGGTATCGACATCGATTTGGCGGCAACCCACCATTGGTGGCGACACGACGACAAGTAATGAATTGGCCGCTTTCATGAGTGGCTGACATGCGTCGCCCCAAATAACATCCACTCTCATGGGCTAAAAACTATCCGTTCACTGTCCTCTCCACCTAAAGTAAATCGGCTTTTGTGTTGGCTTGTCGTGACTCGCAGACTAATGCATGCAGACACAAAACGAGACGCATTGCAGGCAGTAGAAGACCTCAACTGGAGACGGCTCTGGGTACGAGGGACCTGTCCTTTGACACCTGGACACCCACGAAGAGTCACATTAAATTGTGCAAACACCCCGTAATCAACCACCACCACCACACACCGAGTGCATTTTTGCTGGGACAGTGCACCGAGATTTAACCCAAGGTCCAGGGTGCCAAACAACACAACTCATACTGGCATACTTCAATTTTGCTCAATCTCGATTAAAGTAACCAATTAACTGAGCCGAATTCAGAGCTGAACATGCACGTAAAAGGGCTCTGTATTCAAGAGACTTCGGTTGGCAGAAAAACAACGACAATCGACTACAAAGCAATGGCTTTGAACGCAACGAAGCTGCAGCACTCAACTGCCAGGCACCCCGTTCTCTAGCCTCAAGTCCACGACGCCCACCGCAACGGCTGCATTGCAGAGGCTAGTGAAGTGAATAGTGCATTTGAAAGACCAACTCGTCCAATTAATCAAGCAAATTAACCGCATCAAATGTTCACTGATCACACCAACGTGTCACAACACTGATGGTCATTTGTCGGGCAAATTTGCACAAGCAATTTCGACTTCACCACCACCACCACCACCACCACCAACGGTAAATGCCGTGACTGTGGGTCAGTTCACTGGCAATGACACCACCACCAACAACACGAATGACGACCTTGCTTGTTTGGCTGTTTCATTTAACATCAACACCGAGTTCAAACAAGAATACAACATGAGGCCTCAGCTTGACCAAAAAGCAAAGGGACTAGCACAATGCGCTTCATTATAGGGTGGTGGCCGGATTTAACAGGACGGTCTGCATGCGCAGTTCAGTGTTGACGTAAAAAGCACACCAACGCTTCCTCACTAAGGAAAACACGCCTAACTTGTCAGTTGTTTGGGCACCCATGTGCATCACGACGACTTAATGAGGTGCCCAACCCAGCAGAAATCCAACAGGAAAGCTTCATTCCGAAAACTGAGAATAGCCAAGCAGGAATTTGTGTACACACAATGCCTCTTTGCAAAGAGCACCACACGTTGACAAAAGGTCGATGAGCAATTGATGACGACGCTTATTCGAGAGGTGCTGACAAACTGAACCGCGCGTTATCATTCCCACAAAACAACCGTCGTGGCCACACGGGGCAATGAGACACTTGAACCAGCTTAGATGTGTCTTCGACGGAAGCAAGAGTGATGCCGCAGTGTTGTACAGCAATATTGACGATGCACCTGAGTGCTATCGTTGGTTGAGACTGGAGATTTAGAAAAAAACTCTGACCAATCCTATCGTCAACCTTGGTTGCTTGCACCTGCTGGAAAAACAGAGTGCCCAGACATCCGCTGAAGCACCTGAGTACGACGAAGCACATACTCTTGGCTAACGCATCGGCCTAGTGCCAGAGTTGGAGGGGCAACACCGACTTACTCTAACCAGACACACACATTATCCCTCATTGAAATTTAACGACCCAAATATGCAACACATTTCAAACCGCCAACCGAAAACACGGTTTCTTGAACAAACGATAAAATTCGTAGATTCTCTTCAAAACTCTACAACCAAGGCCATGCATATTTTCTATTATCTTGCATGTTCTTTTATCAACCTACTTGGGCCCTTTTCCATAGATTGGAATGGGTTCCTTGGAACAGACGTCTGTCAACCTGACGCCGTTCCAAGTGCAGGCGATAGTTACTCTCAGAGGACAACACGTAAACCCCAATGGCCAAACAACTTCCATGCCAGAACAAGCATTTGCGCATTAACATTACGTGATCTGGTATTATTATTATTATTTCAGTCGCTTATTCGTCCATCACTCGTGTCGCGCAGATAGTTCGCACTGTTTGACAGCACTCAAACCAGGTAGACACGACGGTTTCAAGCACTGGTCCTCACGATCTTCTCCGCTTCAAGGGATTCGGACGCACACACTGGGTGACCAGCCAGTTGGTTTCGTCTCGGTCCAGACTGAAGTCATGAGGCCAATGCACCACTAAGCTTCACTGAGTGGATCCGCGGACTTCAGGGTCGCACTAGCGTCTGTGAGCCATCGTGCCTTCACCGACGCGCGATCCCCGGCAAACAATGCGAGCGAGCACACAGTTCGATGGAGTCATACCATACTTTTACCACTCGAGGGTGTGTATCGTGGGTGGCAGTTTAAAGCACGCTTTCTGCTAACTAAAGCTGTCGCCATCAAGTCTGGTGTTGTAAGGAAATGGTTCATTGGAACAAAAGACAAGTCGCCAAATGAACACAAGTGCACGCGATCCGCAGGCGTCTTGGAATGTCTGCGTCCATTGGCGATAGTCGGGGTGTGCTGGTCAGGATTGACAACAGGTTCTGAATGGTTGTCATGGCTCTCACCTACTCTATGGTCTCGTCATATGTATGCCTGCTCTGTATTTGGCGGCCCGTTTTAGATGCTTGACTGATTCACCGAAATTATTGTCCGACAGTAAGTCGTGGTGAAAGGAACTCAACCAGCGGACAGAATGGTTATACCAGGTACACCATTGTATCAAACCTCAGTCTGGGCATGTTCTGCGTGGACTAACGTTACTGGCCTGGTTTTATTCAAGATTCGTTTCTTACTGGGATAAGAAGTGAGACAGTAGTCCACTCCATTTTGGGATTCAATTGATGAAGAATTAAAATATTAAACTTACTGATTGACTGGTTTTTTCTCTCATGTTTGAAAGCTGCAGTGGCACAAATGTTTGGCATTATGGGTCGTGAAGCGATGAATTCATTTACTCAATGAAGCCTCGTACTACCCACGCCTAAGGCTCCAGTTCGCGTTTTGCCTGAGGTCCACTTTTAATCTTAATTCACTTTTGAAAAAAAATTGGATGCGCATTGTGACATAGGCTACACAACCATGAGACACGCTGAAAGTGGTTTTCTCAACCTCCAAAACGAACAATGCTGCGCCTTATTTGCCAAGACGTGCACGATTTCACGGAAAACACACCAGCATACACAGATTTTGGGCGTTTAAACGACCACTGATGTGTAAAGTTCTGGCGAACTACTACTGTTTGCCCTAAGTTGGTAACGGTTAATATTTCACGATTAAGCAGGTAAACCCAGACGAAGGAATCACTTAACTAAGTAGATATAATCCAATATCGTAAATTATCATTGGATCTCTGAAGTCGTTCGCTTAACACTATGCACGTTATGAAGTGCTATTTAAATACAGATGACAACAAGTATTGCTTAGAGACAGAAGATCTGGTTCAGCGAAAACGGCGACTTAACTTTCATTACCGTTTACCACCTCAAGCCGCCACTTTACTCGTGTCAAGCACCAAAGGACTTTTGAAAACACTGCAACCAGAGAAGAGGACTGCGCTTAGTAAATCAAATTACAGTCTGAACATTTAGAGGTTTGAGCGAAAGTGAGATTACTTTGACTAAAATCCAGGTGGCTTAAAAGGAAAAAAAACATCCAGAAACTACAAAGCCGTCTTGGGGTGTGCGATTGACTTTAGATGGCACCAGAACATGTTCTTTTTTATGTTCCGTCAGCAGTGTCATCGTTTTAAACAAACAGTATTTTACAAATACAATGAGACGTCTTGGCATTTAAATTAAAATTATTGGATTACCGCACTTCGACCGCTTTTAGCACCAACATAAACAAGAAAATCACAAATTTAACAAATGCTTTTTTTTCACACCCTTTCCAGCAGTTTATTTATGTTTCGTATATTAATAAAAATGGTCATGTAATACTACTGATAACCATTGACGTTAACACACTATGAGTTCCGAAACACAGACACATTTTTATGAAAAAAAAACAACTACTAACCCATTAGAACTGAACTTCCACTTACAAAATAATCTGTTAACTTATTTTTTTTCAAATCGACTTGTCGCGATAGCTTACCTTTAAAATAAAATTTGCCGGTATGAACTTGACCTGACTACGGGTTGACTTTTTGACGATAATCCTATTTTGAATCACTCTTACACACTTTAATGAAGGAGATTATTATAAAAGCAGCGTTGTTGTTGATTAAAAGTAGCCACAGCAATTCAAACCAGTGGCTGTTTGAAAATGGATCCGATTCACGGTGTACGGATTTCGGTCAGTGCGATTGAGAGCGTGAATTTGTGTTAGAAATTCACATAAGAAAAAAAAACTATTGCAAAACAAAATGCACTAATAGTTAAATTTTCTTACACAAAACTTCATGCTAACCGAATAGAGCCTGCATTATCTTTTGCATCCAGTCGAGGTTGTTCACTTCATAAAGTGTAGATTGGTTTAAGGAACTGCGATTATGGACATTGACGCTGGCTTAGAACTCCCTAATTCATAACCTTACCATAAAATGGATAAATTTGGGACAAAAGACGAGAAATGTACACCTGGTTACCCCCACCCTCGTAACTCACGGTTTTTTGAGACATGGCGCAAACTTCGGGAAGCCTGACATGTAGATAGGCCGAGATTTTCGGGAGATGAGGGATGCTTCCAAACCGTATTTGGCCTTTGGGAAGGAAACAAGACTAAATTACTCACCAGGGGAAGATAGACAATCACAAGATTCTCCGAATTTACTCAGTAGAATTTTCGACACAATCAAAAACTCTATCCCAAAGGAGGGCTGCCAGAAGGGTGTTTACAGGGGACCACTAGAGGCATTTTGGTACTATAACATTATGAGCTTTTGTCTAACAAAGATCTTTTGAGGCAGGGACGTCGGGCGTTTTCTAGGCAGAAAACATGAACCTGTGGTTAATTGCTCCAGAAAAAAAAACTACGACTTGAGCTCAATTTGCTTTTTGATGGTTGGCTGACAGAATAGCATGCGATGCCAAGAAGCAAAAACCGCATCTACTAGTTTTTGATGGTCTTATTCGCAAATTTTTTAGACCTTCAAAGACAAAACTGATGTTGGCGAGAGAGAAATAATCGCTTCAGTCCATGTTACGACACTTCCGGAGTAACCTCGCCCATGTGCACATAACTTGAGCTAAAATGCAATTACCTTGATAGCGTCAATGGTATCTTTCAGACTGGTCTGCAGCGATGGTAATTGCAGTTCCCAACGGTCCCATATTGTGTAAAGCATGCCATTTGGAAGCTTCGTCGAACGGCAAGGTGCCGGAAGGACGGACATTGTCGACGGAAGAGAAAGATTTACGAAATGGTTCCGCGACAAAGCAAGGAGACTCTCGGAGCTGCGGCAGCAGACATACTTGAGCAATTCTAGGCTGATTAGACCTGCCACGGCTGCCGTGGTGGTAGCTATTGCAGGAATGATGCGGCCAGCGATTCGTTTAACTTCGTATCGACTCGTAATTGGAAGACCATACATCTGGGCCCGGAGATTCTATCGCATTTGAGGTAGTAAGGATATATAAACTAAATGACTCATACACACTCATCTGTGACGTGGATCGCTTACTTTGCAGAAAGAAGGACTACGTTAGTGCGAACTAGGCAATTCGGAAAAAAAAGCCTCAGAGTACAAACTTGTACTCTGAGATAGCACCAAATAACCACGTGACGTTTAAAGCAATACATTTAGCAAAAAAACACGAAAGAACATATTGCTAACACGTCTTGTCAAATCAGCTTGATAAATTGTCTAATGCTGTTAAAGTGAATACATAAACAAGAATCGGTCTTTTGAGCGCTCTATCATGAGGTTACCAGAAATATTGCCCATTAAACTGACAAGGCAATCCCAGATTGAATTCGAATTCCCTTTAATCCAGTAGTTTGGTGGTATGTGGCTAAAGACTTATCGGCATTTTGTCGAATGCGCTTTGTGCGAATGACTCGGTTCACGCACAGTTGCTGCCATAAAATCCCCTCTCTTTTATAACCACCCTTCTGCAGTATGCCATTCCGTGGGGCACCAACAAAACGCCAACCACTGCCGCCATAGATGCGGGGGTGGTCTACCGGACATCCCAAACTTCAATGTAAGATCTCATACGGAAAGGACGCCTCAAGGCAAGAGGCAAATCACATTTAAGAGCTGGACATCTACTCACGGCGGCGGCATCCATAAAGTCGACGTGTCCATCGGCTTCGTTGTCCTTGTCGAACTCAATTGGGCGGCATGTTATCAAACCTAGGAGATAGGAGAAAGTGGAAATGTGAGCAAACAACCCATGCGATTGAAATTGACGTTTTTTTATCGGAAGGAGATGCACAGCGTCACCCTCTAATGTATCCCACCGTCATCACATGAGGACAAATTTGTACATATAAGGATAATTAGCGCAGTTCCTACTTTTGTTACTTTGAAAATGCAACTTAAAATCGTTCAGATTTTTCCATTGCCTGCATTTAAGACCTAACACCAGGTAAATGTTCAAGACATCAATAATGCGTGTTTGGTCAGTGAGGAAAAATTACTAAAAGGTCGAAGAAGCTGACTCGTCAGGAGGGTAGCACTTTAAATAGAGACTGGCAAGTTGTTAGTGTTGTTGTTTTCTTTTAACTCATGCAACCGCAAAGGTTACCTGGTTACACCCAAAGCATCTTCCAACGTAAAAAATACGCCCAACCTTGATTTGCCTAATTTATTATCCCCTTTGCGTTTCAAAAAACGAGTGAATTAAAAGGAGTGTGGCTTTCTTCACTGGCCTAAATACAACAGGCGTGGAATAAATTAAATGTTCGGCAATCAGTAAAAATACTGGCTAAGAGTCTAATTACAGGGATTTCCTTACAACCCCGAGAAAACGATTGTGCATTGACACGCTGCATCAAGAACAACTACCTGGGATTTTTAAAAATTCCTGGGAATTAAATAAACAACGAACAAAAAACGACCCTTCTACGTGTACAATCACGCTTAAACAGAAAAAAAGAGCAATTTTTTGTGCAAATTACAGTGTGCAGTATCAATCAGTTGGGCTCAAATTATTGTGAAACAGAGCGTTGTCGTTAGAAGACCTAAGTCTGAAATCTTGTCAATTGAGTACTTAATAACAGGCTAAAAAGGAACCATTTGTCAGCGCAGGATTAGAGACATAGGTTCGGGCCTAAGCAACGAGCAAGGACAGGGGGGAGTCGATTGAACATGCCCGGGGCACTTCTAAGGGCACAAAGTTAAGAAACACAGAGCTCCATCACACACAGTTGACAGTGAAGTCGATTTGATTTCGTAAAACGAAATGTCTGAGTATCTTACTCTTGAGTTGCACTTTGGTAAAGTAGAAAGCCAGCAAACATAGACGTGAAAGGAATAAACATGTGCACGTTGGAAATGGAAGTTGGAATACCAAGAAAATGACTGTCATCTGCACTTGCTTGCGAAAAAGTCGGTAAATTATTTCAAAGAGAAAGAGCGCCGAATCGCAGGTGAATGCAAAAGTGTAACTTATTCATAACCTCACGGAAACTCATAATTTCCCGGTAGATCATGAAGCGCATTATTTACACTGATGTCTTTCTATTCACACGGTTTCTTGTTTCATGACTAAACGAACCCACGACTTGGGATGAAGCGGCTATTCAGACATGCACTAACTAGGATCCATTGGAACATGAAAAAAAAACTGGATATTCGTACGATGCTGTGAAAACGTGAGGTGCCATTTGTGAAAAAATCAACTTCGTAAACCGCAAAAAATCATCACTCATGGATAGTGAATTAAGCAGATGAACGTTCTTTTTTCTCGGTCAACCGAATAATGTAGCAACGCTGTTTAGAAGAACAAAGTATTCGTCAGAAGTGTATTCTAGCTGTTGTGCGAGGTTGTGGCAACAGAAACAGCCTAATTACTTTTATTAGGAAATTATATTCTCTAAATCGGCTACTAATACAACAACAAACACTACACTGAATAGCATAAAATATCGGATTTTATTACTACTCAAAAAATGCTCGTTCAAGAAACCAGCCACGTGCTCAAAATCCCTACATTTGCGTACCAGGTCTTAGCACCGATAATCCCCTCACCTGTCCCCTGCAGTTACCGCATTCAGATGTTGATTAAAACAACAAGTGGATACTTTCTTGAACAACTGCAGAATAGGTGACAGTGCAGTCCGAAGTGTTCGCCGTGTTTGTTACCGATGGCAGTCCGCAAACAGTACAGTAGAAATAACTTAGAGAATAAGCTACCATTGAAAACCACTTCCCCCTGTTGACTATGACAGCGGGTAAAAACTGGTTTTTGTCTAATAATTTCGTCTACCGCTCTTTCTTCCTCTCTCTCAAATTAACTAGTAGTCGGAGAAGACTTTATAATCATCTCAAGAACATGGTAAATGCTAAAATATAACCAACTGCGGTCTATATGGAGTGGGATGACTACCAGACGCGGCCAAGGTTTTGGATCTACAGTCAGCACCAGTACAGGAAAGACAAAAAAGGGATTCGGAAAACTGAATGAACATCGTCAGAGACAAAAAATGATTGTGACAATGTCGTGGAATGTGTGGGGTGTGCTCGGCATGTATTCATGAGGACGAGACAATTAATGCATTGTAAACTATTTTACAGTGAAGCTATATTGAAAACAAACGAATAATTATTCAGATAGATTCACAAAGACGATAATATGCGATTTGGAAAACTTTAATTACAGTACCTTGCTCCAACCGCAATACCTGTCCGAATTATCATTAACTGATAATCACTTAATTCGGGTTTAGATAACCACATTCAAGATAAGACCTCCTGTAACTTGGGGAAAATCAAAGAGATGACTGTTTTTACGACTTTTTTAGAATGCACACAAATTATGCACATTTAGATCAGTAAAAAGAGACAAGTTCGTTGCGAAAAATACAAAGGAACCTCAGTAAAATAGCATAGATTAGTTGATTATTGAACCAATTCGTCGACCGTTAGCAGTTAAGTTCGATTTCGTGTAGCGACCGGGAAGCAACAAAAAATTAATCGTGTGATGGAAGCAGAGCACTTCCACTTTCTGAAAGAGAAGGAGAATGATCGCAGGAACGGTCATTCGAGGACATTACGGGAAAGTACTGATGAAGGCAATTTTTGTAATTAGAAATGACTCCAGTGACTACTATCAGCGTAAGCACAGACATTAGGGAAATTATGTTGATGAATGCCCAAAGATATCGCAGACTTCATGAAAACAGAATGCAACTGAGCGGTCTTGCCATGGAGCCATAAAGCAACCTTGCTTTTAGCATAAAAAGGTCCTTTCATAACAAAATACAAAAGCAACAATAGTTTTTGCACGAGAAAATATCCGAATCCTGGAAGTCAGAATAACGGACACACCACATTCAAACAAATTGGTTTAAGGAAATGCGGGTGGTTCGCGGTGTTAAATAGCCCAGAACACGAGTTAAGTATGTGGTGGTACAAATGATGTGGTTGTTTCAGGGATTGATAAATTGCAACGAAGATCAGTGGAATGGAACTGAAACCAACAAAACAAAATCATACCTCTGCTCCATTCTGCTTAACGCAAATTTATTATTAACTAGTTCGTTCGATTGTGGGGTAAAATATGAATTCAATCATTAAAAATCGGGTTTTAAGAATCACCAAATTATGGGTAACTTTTCTGAGTAGAACAACGCTTAGGCAGTTCCACAGGTCATCCCGCATTTGCCTTGCCATCGAGGCAACTTCGTTGGACTCCAGAAGCGACAAAAAGTAGGCGAAACATGCGCCAGTTCCCGTGTCAATGTGTATAGGCAGAACAACCTTTGGACTAACGGTCCGTTTCAGACAATATTTTTTTAAAAATAGGAACTAAGTGTATAGGCCACACCTACACTATTCGCAAGGCGTGCCAAAAAAACGATGGGTGTGGTCCCTTCAAGTCGAATAATCTCAAGTCCGACTTGACTATCGCATGACACCTGATCCGCAAGCAGCTAAGTCGCAGACGCACATTACCAAGTCCAGCGATAACCTGTTGGCCAGTGATGCAGAAATGTGCAGTCAGCGTTTCACCAAGGTTACGTCTCAGAGCTCAGTCGAAGATAATGCGGCTAACACTTCTACGTCTGCTTACGGAAAACAAAACAACCATCATTCTAATCCAAAGACACAGTTCCCGACCTTGAATTATTTTGTACTGACGTCAGACGAGTTGGACCTCGAATTTTACGTGTGCACCTCCAGGAGGTTTTATTGCACCAGGGGCAGCCTTCCCCTAAAATGCACGCATCGGTTTGATTTCAAAAGCAGAGTGCTGCGAAGGTCTCGATTCAACCTGAAGCCCCACCACGTGTCAGGCAATTGTAGCCGGCGAAGTACCAGCTTAGGCTAAGACAATTGGGCGTGTGTGGTTCACGTGGCTGCACTTTTTTATGATTTAAAATAAGCGGCCATGAGTCCAAGTACAGTGGAATTGCATTCCTCGGGCCGCCTAAAGAACATGAGGGATTGAGAGAACAGATGAAAACACGAGAAAATAGGTAGACGGTGAGCCAGTCTTGACTGCGTGTTACATCAAGTTGGTGCAAAAGTAATTCCCGTTTTTGTTAAGTTTTAATTACTGTTTATTAAGAGTATTCCTCTTATTGCAACCTCGGATGTTGCCTAAAGTAATCTTTACTAATCTCAATTATGTTCTTAATGTTAGTCTTTAATTTAAATAAAAATCATGTGAGAGCATAGCACTTGACACCAATCCGATAATACCGTCAATAATAATCTGCTTGATTTGTATCTCGCAACCATTTCGAAAGGAAAGTGAAGAACATAAGGGGCTTCACTTTCTGAGTACAAGAGTTCCCACCAAACCAATGTAGAATACTACCTGATTACGACTTCAAAAAGAATGCTATTCGGCTGAACGAAACTGTGGTGGCCAATAGTTGATTAGACATTGATGAAATGCATCAGAAGTTACGAGTGAAAACGTTCGAATCGGTAAAATACCCGCCATGGACAGATTAGTACCGCAAAACAATCGGTTTTGTGCCATATCGATGAATATATAGAGGCAAAGAGCGATGATAACCCCAAGAGAAGTTGCTTCAGGTGGCTAAACACTACTCCAACAAATAAAAATGACGTACGATCGGCACGACTCTGAAGCCGCTCGATGGCAACCTTGAGAAGGGTTTGAAGTTCTGCTTTCGAGTCCGAAAGCGGCTCCACAGGAGCCGGTTTAGCCTTCACAGAGGTGTCAGTGACGACCTCCTTCTGTGATGGAGTAAACGGCGCTGGGGTGAAATCAGCAAGTGCTTCGGCAATCAGGGACGACGGAGGCGTATTCGATTCTAGCGCAGGAAATTCAATGTCCGACTGGTAGGCAAGGAGGCGAGCAAATGTCCACACAAACCGGGTATGCCTATTCAATAATAAACAGGGGCAGCGATGAAGCAGTACGTACATGGCATCGAATTTACTACACTAGATCCCTTTTCCTCAAATCTATGTCATCCACAGCGTTTAGGTCTACAATACCGAACGACAATTCATTTACGGCTTTCGGTTAGAGTGTTTTGTCTGTTAAAGACGACTGTTCCGCATAAATCACTGAATGCTTCAAGCTGAAGCAGCATCAACGAAAACTAACAACGCAAAATAACTCATTAAAGCAGATGAAATAAACATATTTAATAAGGCAGGCGAGTTCTATTTCCTTAGACGTGTGCCTACAGCATGGGTTTCGACAAGGGGTAAAATTTAACCAGACAAAAACAACTAAGCTTCGAAGGATGGCTAATCCATCATTGTTATACGAATGTGTCACAAATACAAATTGCTTTGGTGAGCAGAAGAAATTGGCTGCCAACTCGCTAGTAATCGATCACTAGGCCCTTAAATTCAAGGTGCCCTAGCCCAAACATTAAACCAATGTAAACAAACGCAAATCGCCAATGACAGTGTCAGTGTAGCGCAAGGAGACCACTGCGTGTCCTTCGTACTCAAACTAATCGCCATGATTTAGACTAGAATAAGAACCCACTGGTTTTTCAACGACAAGACAATGATCTTCCCCATTTATCCGACACAGGAGCCGCATTTCATTCAAGTTGATAATGGCACAGATTAACGCTGTTTTAGGCGTTAACGCGTGATCTTAGCTTACGCATATATTTAAAATTCCAATAATGAAATAGGCTTAATACTACTTAATAACTGCATAGAACATACAGCTGGTTTGACGCATCAAACTGAATCGGTGTTGGAGAACGGCGTGGCAACTGCCAGAAGGGCTCTAAAAACGAAACCGAATGTCAGCACCATTCTGTTTAAAGAGCTACTCAGTGGGAAATGAACTCAGCTCACTTCCGTCCTCGACAGTTGCATCAGGAGGAAACTTGTAAAGCAAATGTAAGGCCTAAAAATTACGAAAAGTCCCTTTGTTAAAGCAAAGATAAATGCGAGCGCATTCACGTGATGAACACCATTTGAACCAACCTTGTGCTTAAAGTACTTTTCAAACTTCTCCCGTCCCACGCGAATGCAGTCCTGCCATGTACGCGGCCTGCTGTTAAAAAAGGCGACTTGGGAGCCTGTTAATTGGTGGATGAGATTTCTTTGGTTGGGGTTTTCGAAGGCAGCCTCCTCCTCAGAACCCTCTACAATCACGGATTTGAATGCGGTAAGCAACTGAGAAGGAGAGCAGCTAAAAGCCTTCAGAAGCTGTTCCAAGACACGTGGTTTCAGGGTGAATTGTGTGAAGAACTAGAGAAAGGCAATAAAACAATGAATGAAGTAGTTCGATTGTTGCAACAATTAACGTTACTCAATGTGCTCTCGACTTTTTGGTAGAAATGGAGCAGCTAGTTCTACCGTTAATCAGAATTGTTTCTGCCACCTAGCACCTGCACGTGAATGTTAGGGATTCAGCATTCCCCATGACGGCTCATCGCGGGGTTAAGATTTTGTCGTCGTTTACATAATTCTCCTAACCACTGGGGCCTTTGGCTGAGACAGTAACAGATCTCTGCACGAGGTCTTGTCTTGTCTTAGCTTAGCATGGGAAGGTGGGGCCTTGAGTCGGACAATGGATCCGATTATCTGAGTGCGTGGTTTCGGTTAAGTACGAAACACAACACAAATTTTCCAAAACGAAGTTGTGGTAAGATAAACAAAGATGATAATCCACTCAGTCAGGGTCTGTGAAGTGTGGGCGATGAAGCAGTATCGCTCAATCAATGCTAGTTTGGGGGTGTTTTTTCGTGCACAGTGCAATCGCATACTTTGATAAAGGATGACAACACTTCTTCCGTTGACCAATATTGAATGCTTCATTTAAATTCATGCCACTAAAATTGACCGCTGATTTCGATAGGGTTTAGCTTGTAAGGAAATAACAATTTCATAGGTAAAGAACGCACCACCGTACAGCGATCAAACAGATCACTAAAGCGTCGCACTATTACCGCGCCGAATTGGCAGCAAAAACACCTCTCTATCCCGTTTAGGAAATCAATGAAATTCAAAACAACGATGCAAGTCAGTTGTCTGGCGAACCCTACTCAAAACCAAGATTCACCATGAGAAACATGAAGCGCGGGGATTCTATTGAGGTGCAGAGCCCACGTCGGTTGACCCCGAACGAGTGCTTCAACCAAAATTTTTGAATTTTCGGGAGTCCGATTCACGTGAAAGCAAGAATTTGCAAACCACTCGCGCGGTTTAAAATAGCCAAAACAATTCTCACTACCCCACTCTCATTCACACGCACGTTGCATTAACACAACTGCTGAGCTTTCATTATAAGAGACAGCCATGCTATAGCACAATTGCTCCATGACATTTGTGGAAGAAAATTTGCTAGGCCCAGCACCATCGTCCGAAAATACTAAGTGACGCGTTCATTACACTTGCTATGCAGCCTTGTTAGGAATTTGGCCCAGACCTGATTCGAACAGCATAATTGAACAGAATCTGCGGCAAATTGGAAATAATTGGAATATCGGCTTGCATACACTTCGGTCCATGGAGAATTGAATGGCACCTCATAGACACAGCGGTCGTTTGAGTTAGAGGTGAGGTTCAGGTTAATTTTCTTCCCAAAGACAGATTAATGTGACGGACGGGAACACATGCCGTTTTTTTTAAATTAGTCAGTGGCGGTTGGAAAAACAGTCTTGAGTGCGTGGAACAACTGTGCGCCTAGAGGTGTGCCACCAGGATCTGAGGGACTGGCAGTTGTGTCACAAGCACGAGCAGCATTGGGTGTCCACGGGTGACACAGCTTCGCTGACTTTTAACGCATCTCGTGCGCGCCAGAAGGTGAACCACACAGAGGAGGTTTATTACAAGGTCTGTCATCCCAACGCTGAACTGATTTACTAGCACTGATATCGCGTGCATCGACGATGCCAGGCGCACGTACCCCGACTAGTGAAAGGAACTTGCAGACACCGTTGGCCGGGGATGCTGGCGCTGGACAAAAGGGCGTCAATGCACACATACACACACACAAACACGCGCGCATACACGACGCCTAGACGCAAAGCTAAACAAGAATTCTATGAGAAAAAAAACACGAATAGTCACAGAACTTCTGTCAGACAATGCTGTCGTCACAATGGCTTCATCTTCGACCTGGCACTTGAGGTCATCATAATTGAAAAGTCGGTGCAATTCACAGGCAACGTTGTGGTGCCATGTCTCCGTTGGACAACACTGCCATCCACAAAGCTAGACTTTCAGTGGTCTCGTGTAGTTGATTTGGCAAAGCTAATTAGTAATTAACGGTTTCGTAGTAGCATCAACACATCTGCAATAAGACCTTGTATCCTCAGCTTTCAAATTTACGAACCCTTACCGAACTCACTCTTCAATCAAGTCATCACTAATCCCTTAATTTAACAAGCCCGACTCACGCCAAACCCTGGGAAAATCTGACATTATCCACGAGATCGGCACCAACGTTTCGAAGAGAGATCACAATAATCGTGATTTTGACCAAGGGAACACAGAATGCGCAACTTCACATTGAAATTTCAAAATTCCCAAAGAACATTAATCGATGTGTGCCCTGGTCGTTATGTGATAAGTCAGAACCTGACTGCGATAAGCATTTTGAGAATCTCACTTGACCCAAATTTGAGGCACACGAGATGACCACATCTGTGGCATTGCATCTGCTGTGTTGACGAAGTCAGTGATCTTCAGTGGCACACCGCTTAGACCATTCAGGGCTGGTGACGTCGAACCAACGCCGTGGCAATTGGAACACAAACTAACTCAAAATTTCGAAGGACTTAACTTCAAAAATGCAGAAGCCTTCAACAGGATTTTCTAGCGAGGTTATCAGTGTACTTCGTTTCTGACGGATTCCGTCTTGAATAACACAGGGTTTTTAAGAAGGGGATGTGTAGGGCACATGCAATCAGACGAGTTCGTGAAAGTTCGTCCTCATGCCCACTGGAAACGCAGCACTCGAAATGATGAAGTGAATGGTGAACTTTACCGAGATCAAAAACAACTAAGGCTTCAGTTGCATACAAATCGTCGCAAGCAATTTTTAAAAAAATTGCCCCAAGGAACAACAGAATACATAACTGCATGAAATTCTTGTGAAGATCATTCATTAAGTGAGATAGTAGCCGGGTTGTATCCACTTCACATAAAAAATACTTTTAAAAAACCGCAAAAATACCTTTTCTCTTGCCCATTCAATGCAGTCGACGGGTTTCGCAGGGAATGACTTGAGAGTACAGTAGGGGATCGCGTCCCCATCGCCATCTGCTCCGCCTGACGAAGAGTTTCCCTGACTGGAGTACGACTCGGTCAGACCGGGGAAGACCACCTGGGTGTGGCCCTTCGTGCCCTGCGTGCCCGACTCAAACATCGCGAGCCGATTGGCGACGCATCGAGCATCCAAGTAATTTCTCGCCTCAATGTTGTCGAGTGCGGCCAGGACAATCGGCAAGTTTGCTTTGTCGTCTCCGGAAGCTGCCGCTTGAAGGAAGGCGTCGGTGAACACAGTTTGCTCAGTTTCGGGGCCAACTGAATATAATAAAATTCTGAGTTAAGAATTACATCTACTAAATAGTTATAAGTAGAACACTCATACGCTTTGATACAAGAGCGTTGACTTTGAGGGCGGGGTTAATCTGCCGCACTGATTGAGCAGCGACCGTGCTTTTTGCAAGACCAACGTGCTCAGGTCTGAAGAGAAATTGCCGATTGAGGTTGGACTTCTCTATATAATCCATATCTGTAACAGTGACACAGGGCTCCCCGGAGTTGCTCGCATTCGCATTCGAGATTAGGCCGGCGCATGAGTCAGCAATTTGCACCGAATACGAGCGGGGTTGCTGAGCCAGTGACTCCAAATCCGCGTCGTAGTCACTGTGCGAACTTATCTATACGAAGTGACAACAACAATTCATTACATTCGATAAAAGCTACTGCAGATTACACGGTGTCTAAAACCAACGGAAGTAGTCAACGAACGTTGCCATCAAGAACTGGCCTTCTACCCATGACTGTGGTAAAAATCTATTAGATGAGGACTGGGTCCAGAAATCGCTTAAGATAGGCATAGAAAGCATTATGGTTTTGGAAGGAGCTTAGTGAGTGGCTTTTAGCAGTTCAATTAACACGAGTTCAAAGGTGAAGGGTAAGGTTTAATAGACTTCAGATAGACATGTCAGCCCAATTCAAGTGTTAAACATGATGCCCTATGAGACTCGCTAGGTTTGCTGTAGGCACTCAGATATTTCGTTAGATTAGGGAGTAAGATTTTACGCCATCTCTGTAGTCCCATAGACCAGACAGCCTGATTGTAGCGCCCGCGTAAGTCACACGAGATTAACAAGCAAACTAACGACGGTGCCAACAGCTCACTTAAAAATATGTTAAGGCATTAAAGAAAAACAAATTGTAGAGAAGACACACCGAGCACGCAAACTAGATGTAGACAAGCGAATACATAAAGACCACAAACACGAATCATTCCTTAATGGAGGCGGTTAGTACGCGGGTGGGTAGTGCGTTTTTACACCCAAGACGTGCAACAGCTTCAGACCAATCGCATTTCCGAACAGAAGGCAACAAATCGGAATAAAGTATGTGATTCGTAAAAAAAGTTATTGTGGGCCCCGCCGACATGCGGTCTCAAACCACGCCAGGGCCACTGCGCTACCCTAATACCCTGTTGGCAGTGTGTCGTGTGTGGCGTTTGCGTGCGTACTTTTTTTAGCTCAGAGGTGTGAGACCGCGTGAATCATCGAGGTGCTAACATCGAGACCTAAGCGAATTTCATCACACGTTGTAACAATCCCGGATGCTCGTTCGCGTTAATGGGGTGTGATTTGAGGATCCCCATGGCTGTGAAAAGGTGAGACAGTGTGTCGAAGAATTGAGCAACCGGATTAACGAGTGTGAACCAACGCAGTTCACAACAGTGTTGTGGTAGAAAACGGATGTTGGAAAGCTAAAATGTGACCTCAGAAAATAATAGGCCTGGTTTTGGAATCAGTTATTGATGACGAGCAAAGGTTTGTCCATTGCCTATTGGACGCTTAGAGTCACTCCCAAGCACTCATTCGTGCGTACATTCCCGTGGTCTTCGCTAATCCAAGACGTCTATACAATCACCATGTACGTTGTGGTGAATCTGGCTAATTTGAAACCATACGATTTGATGGGTTTAGAAAGTCGTTTAAGCATTTTTCGGACCTACACAACAAAACCCAGTATTAGTGTGACCTCAGTCCGTCAATTAGGGGTCAAAATTTACGTCACTCGATAACAGGTTACACATGCAGGTCTTTAGAAAGGGCTTTGGTAACGCCCGCAGAAGGTTTTAATGACACATCTGCAAACTCACGCTGTGAGTCATGCTTTTTGTCTCAGCTATCCTCTTATTGCTCTATTTGGTAACCAAAGTTTAAGACGAATAAACTTGCCCGAGTTATCATTGGCAGCCGCAGACCTGAAAAGAGGAAAAAGTGGTAATTCGGATCTGCCTCAAAGGAAGGCGCCAACTTATCTGCGTTACACCAACAAAATCAAGGGATACTTAGACAACAGGAGCACGCACTGAATCACTGGCGGTGTTGCATTTTCCAACCAGACCACAGTTAAGGAAGGGCTGTGAGCAATGCCTGGTCGACCAACTTACAACTCCACCGCAGCAAGTGTTTAAATGTAGTTGCTGCAGACAACGGGGCTGCATCATAGAATTGTTGGGACAAGGGATGAGGTGTAGAATGCAAAATTTGGGTTTACGTTGCAAAACCGACATAACTAAGTTGAATGAGGATTTGGAAAATGAATAGAGCGTTACAAAGCAGAGATTAGAAGTCGTTAGTAAGAATTGCAAAGAAAATAACGAGGAAGAGGATTCAGAGTACATGGAATAGCTTACTCCTCTCATCAAAGCGATGGTCGCTTGAGGCAGAATTGGTCACTGAACCATTACTAAGGAGAGGCAGGGGATTCACGAGGGAGGTGTCACCCAAATCCGCAGCCGGTTCGCCCCGAGGTCCGGTTGTGTTGGTGGCCTCTCGTGGCTGCGCGGCAGGGACGGGCCTTAGACGCACAATCTGCGAGTCCGAGTCACTCGTGGCCGTCCGCAGCTCGCCCACGGGCCGATCGAGCGCGGAGGTGTCGCCGAAGCCGGGCTCGTGGCGACGGAGAGCGGAGACCTCGGCCCGATGCACCCGGATGACGCCGACGTCACGAAAGCTCAACTCTTCGGCCAACTGACGCAAACTACGAATTACGAGAGGCGGTGGTTCGAGATCGGATGAGGCAAACGAAGCGGTGGCTTCAGAGGTTTCCTCGTCCGGATTGAAGGAATCCGAGTTATTTATTTGCGAATTCACCACGCCGGTTGACAGGCCCAAAAGCGCGACTATTTTCAGCAGTTCGCAACCAATGGCACCACAACCGACCTATTAGAAGGAAGAGAAGTGAGTCCGTGACTTACAGTGTATTGTGTGACTTTAAGAAAAACACTCTGACGGACGTCGCTACTAGCTTTGTCAGTGATAAATTTCAATTTACCTATAAATTAACGCTGATGAGATGTGGATAAAAAAGGCCGGAGAGACAAAAAGTTTTTGCCCGTTTGAAACGTGCCAAATTGAATCACTAATGCATAAAGCAGTCGGTACAAAGCAGACTAAAGGAGCAAAAAATTAATTTTACGAGATCCAACATGTACTCACTACAAAGGCTCTGGCCTTCACGAGCTTCTCCATATTCTCTGGCCCGATGCACGCAACTATTGGATCGTAACGCGAACTGAAACACAAGAGCACATCAAGTAATGTGTTAAGAAATTCTCCTAGCAAGGTACATTTGAACAGTTCAGCGACAGCTTTTAGTCCGGTAGAAAGTGAAAACTACAAGAAAACGTTCTTTTGAGGTCAGAGAACTGAGGTGGTAGTGGGTGGGAGAACTTTGAGATCTTAACCCTGAACAGAACAATTCACGTTTAGATCAGAACACAGATTTGAAACCACAGATTGTAAGCAATGACGTGTGCATTACCAAGATTCAATTCAGAGGGAGAACACGTGTGGCATCATAATTAGCTTACATTCACAGATTCTGATTCATGACCAGAATACTCAAAATAAATCCCATCTCAATGCAAGTAATTTAAGAATCTCTTCTACGAGTGAAAAAGTGATTTGTGTCATGCTGATAAGTGACGCAGCCTCGTAACACTCACCTTCGACGAAGTGTGTGGGCCTGCGGAAGCGTCTCAGGTACTACAGCGTCAGCAACAAGATACATCTACGCAGGAGAGACAAGACAATTACGTCTTACAGGCAAGTTAAGCACATGGAAACGTGTGCTGAACAGGCCTACCCATTGATTGAGGGGTGTGAACTGGTGAGTCACCGCCTTGATGGCCTCCTGAGCGGCCACACCACCGAAGAAGGAACAGAGAGGAGCCAGCTGACCACGACACGTGGAGGCGATCTTCTCAAGCAGTTGGGTGTCAACCTCGAACAGAATAGGGAATCATAGGGGGTGCACAGTAAGTGTAAGACCTGAGGATCAATTTTAGAGCAGCAACCTAACTTCCAACACATGGACACGTAAAACTACATGGAGGTGGTGATAAATTTTGAGGAGGCGAATTCGCTTTTTGTTAAAAAGAACGTCAATGAATAAAACAGAAATAATACGGAAGAAAACAATTGTTGATACTATGGCACAAGAAGAGGTTTAGCATTTTAACATCATCGTAATAGACGAGTCATAGTAACACTGGTTTAGTACACTCATTAATGCTTAGCTAGGCAAGCATTTAATGAAAAACAAAAGTTCTAAATCGTGAATAAATTTGACTAAATAGAAGTGTGGCTGGGCGTTTAATAACTGGGATGCCTGCAAATCAAAAAAGACTGAAACCACTTACTTTCAAATCAGAAAAGCAGAACCGTTCGGCCAACTTGGTAAATAAGAGGATGTCCTTTTTACACCTAAAAAGAATTATAACCTTGCTAGGTCATCCACGATGCATTTCAATTAACCGCATCAACGATGGCACAATTTTCAAGAGTGGCGAACAAAAAACGCCCCTTGGTATGCGGCACAACTGCGAGCTGGCGAACAGGTCTGAGAGCTACTTGTAACATAATTTGTTCTTTCCAGACAACCAATCGACTTCTGGACTCAGTAAAGCTCTGATTTTCCCCAGTCTGACGAGCGAACCACACATCAGGGTGCACAAAAGTTATGGATAAAGTGGCAAGACTTTTGTGGTGCAACAAGCAAGGAAAAACGCTGCGTTAGGAACGTGTAGCACTGATTAGAAAATCTCACACGACATAGTTTGTGGTAAAAGAGCAGGCAGACAGGCCAGGTGTCATTGGCGAAATAACAAAGCGCGCCTTCCACCTCAAGGGCAAATGCACTACACTGACCGTAGTAGCTGATGCCTTTCTGTAAATTCGAAAATTTGTAGAACCAAGTAACGACCTTGTGAAAGACATCGTATTACCAAGGCAGCAGACTTCAACAACAGTGATTACGGCTTTTGCTCCAATACTGATGGGATATTATTGTCGTAATAGTTTCAACAAGCACAACTGTTGCTGCTTTGACAAATTTCCGTAGACGAATGAAGACCTACCGCTTTAACTTTCTTCAAATATAACCACAAGTGGCACCAAAAATGCGTTACCACAGTACAAGATAACAACACCTGCAAGATTCAGCTACGGATCAACAACCCTGGAGGTGGTGTGTCCACAACATCAGTCAATTTCTACCGAGAACCACATTTGTAAATGTAGGTCACTCGCTTACATCAACTGACGTGTGCTGGACGTAGTAGATATAATAAGGCATCAAAGCAACCATGCAAGCATTTATTTTAATGCCCATGCAACAAAAACAGTTTGATGTCAATGATTTTAAAACGAGTTAATGTACATTAAGGTAGAAAATCAGCTCACCACGTTCTTGGGAGTCGGTGTTTCTCATACATAAATATCATGAGCGTTATGAAGGCCACGTGAGCATGAGAGCTGGACTGAAAACAATCAAAAAGAAGTCAAAAAAATAATGGCCACATGAACTGTACGTAGCATTGAGAAGTTAAAACACTTACGGCAGGATCAACAAGGTCGGTAGAAGAAAGGCTCGGCTTTTCAATCTGCTTGGCAAGAGGAATCTAAGGAGAAGAATACAAAAATATCGGCGTGTAATCAAAACACTGCGGGAGTCGACGGCTAACATTGCATAGGCCACGTTTGCTAATGTAGGCTTGATTTCTTTATCACATAACTGCCCTTGAAGGTCAGAGATTGCGATCAAAACTACTTCTCACATTTGGACAATACGTCTACTATCGAAGCTAGAACCCGTCTATTAATGTATAGCTTTGCTTCAACGTTCTGACTAGACAGAGGGAACCGAAATGCGGATTCGTGACCGGTTTACATCCCCACACTTTATCCAATCTCCTAAAATGATGGTAGAGCCAAATGGAGAAACGGATCTCCAATGCAGAGGCTCTCTAGCACCTCTAGGCTACACAACGAATCCAAACGGTAGGGTCGTTTCGTCTCATCCGACAAGAGCACATCGCCAGACAGGAGTGAAGTGTTTGATGCCGGTAAAATTAGAAACAGGTAAAGAGCATTTAATGGTAGAAAATTAAAAAAAGGAAATTATAACTGAAAAGAGGAAACGTACGTGTGAGACGACCAGCGTCGGTTTAACTTCAGTTGCTATGCCGCTGCCAGTAAACTTTCCGAAGTTTCTGGTGTCAATATCCAGTTCAATGACAAGGGGTGATATAACTATTAAAAACATATATTTGTCACGACATTTAAGTTGCATTATTCGATAAGAGGAAACAACTTAGTGAATCTCTCACCTTTCACTTTAACCGTTCGGCCATTTAATTCAGTCATGCCTCTGACTTCACGGAAAACGATAGAACAAAAGTCGGGTAACTTATGCGAAATTTGCCCCTTGATTACCAGCTTCGGCCTTTCAGCCTGAAAAACGCAACTCGATATGCAATGAAGTGAGTCAAGCGGACGACGATGTAAATGTGTCAGTAAATTAAAAGACCACATCCTTGAAACAAGAAGGGGCTAAAACTATGGAAATTACGAAGGTATTTTCACTGACGCCAGTGGTGCAATTTTCGTAAGCAATGTAAAATGATTTACATTAAAGGAAACAATTTAAAATAGCACTTACATCAAAATCAATGAACACGGAGATAATACTTACATTTTCGATACTCTCAATGAAAAACTCTAATGGAGGCTCTTCATCCGGCGATAAAACAGTAAATGATGTTCCAAAATCGCAGAAGATGTTACCAAGAACGCCCATTGTATTTGTGTATATAAACTGGAAAAGTTACATGAAAAGAAACTAGCCTACCCGGATAGAATTTTCGCGGCACACCTTGTTAAGGAAGGCCGCATAAAAAATGTGACAATCAGTAAGAATTAGGCACTATGAAAAAATTAAGATTTAAGGGTAAAAAAATTGGAAGTCCTACGTCAACGTCGCGCAAACAAGCCTCGATCAGTTGGGAATCAAGTCTGTGTTTCTGACATGTAAGCGAATAACTTGAAAGCGTCACATTAACGTACGGATTGAGAGCTGCCAAGGCGTTAAGACTTGCTTCAGCTCTAAATTTTGGCGAAAATAAGCTGAAAAATTTACCTTGAAAGTCTCTGAGAAATATGTTCTGGGCGTACAAAAAACTGACTGGCGCAATCTTCAATAGTACAAGTACTGGGATCGTCAATAATGAGATCTTTGATACCAGCAAGTGCCAGATTTTTGGCTGAACGGGAGAAGACGTTAGAATTTCCTTTCACTACCAATTTCGACACCAACACCACCGAGGCCGCAAATATAGACCCTGGCAGTTGATAAACTTAGCATGGCCTGATCGCCAACCACATAGCGTTGGCGGCTAGAAACATGCACACGTGGTCAGCCTCACCTACCTGTAAAAACTGTCGTCTATTTCATCACACATTGCCTCTTAAAAAGAAAAAAAATATTATTTTAGTGAAAAAAAAAGCGATGGAAGTGGGGACCTTCGATCGGGTGTTGTGAGCTATAAGATTAACACTGTTTCGGATCCAGTTAATCAGTATGCTTTTAGTCTTTCCAAACAGTCAAACATGTTGCATTAGCTTAAGTGAACATTTCTGGTGTGTAGAGGGCGGGCCCTAGCTTCTTGTCACGAATTTGGGTACTATTTTGTACAGAATACTACAATTCTAGACAATTGACATCACGCTTTGTGAGAATCAACTTCCTCTGAGCATAAACACAAGCAAGAAGAGCCAAAGAGGGTCGATTCACATCACGACCCAGCAGTACAGGACTTAAAAAAGACGAAACAACACATGAGTCTGAGCTCCACCAACCTAATACAACCAACAAAATGGATATGCTAGGGACCAACTTGATTCAAGCAAGGGAAAAAATTGTTATTGTACACACAAAATTTAGGATAATAAATTATAAAGTTCTTATTATGTAACGAACGAACAAACTACTGAAACAATAACTTTTAAAATTGGTCACATACTTAATTCCAGTGGTAAAAAATCAAAAAACTCCAAAGCCGTTCTGAAAAAGCGCGTTAGCGAGAAAAGTTAAAACAAATTTGTGGTCGAACTTTTCCCTGAGAAATAATTGATATTTTATTCTCACACTGCGCTTTATTTTTTTGCATGTGGTAGATAGAAACTAAAAATTCGTATTGTTAAGGGAAACTGCACGATTCACAGGTCTAAATGGCGAACGTTATGATGCAGTTAGCAGCCTTAACAAAATTGAATATGCAGTATTTGTGCGAATAAATGAATGTAAGTAGCTAGACAAGATTTCCTTGAAAAACTCAAATGTGGAGTTAGGTGCTGAAAGAGAATATGGCAGAAATGTTGGTCTGGTTTCCTTGGCAAGCACAGAGATTTTTCCAATTTGAAAACCTAGGCCGCCAATCACCTGACCTTATTTTCTGGAACTCGTGTCAAATTAACCGAGTCCTAAAACTTATTTTGCAGAATGTTACCAGTGCACAGCCAAAAGGAAGCATCAATTGCTTAATTGTCTAAAACCTCGTTGTTGAGATTTTAACAATCTAATGAATGTTAATTACCTCAGATCTTTAGAAATAATAAATTAATGAACACAAACTTGAATCCCCATACAATTGTAGGTAGGACTGAAAGTAATTTGTAAACAAAGTTGTTTTACTTTTCTAAGCAGTTTTAACAAATATAATCACTTCCTTTCTCAATATTACTATTCAGGGATAGTCGAATATTTGATTTAAGTAAGCTTATACCCTGATTTGTTTGCTTCAGTTCATTTACAAACATTGGAAATTCTTGAATCAAAGGGATCCAACTATGGTAGTAAAGGGAATTGATTCAAATTTACCTATTTCACGTGTTAAATTATGATATTGGGAGTGGTACTCGTGTCTATCCGTTGCTATGACATGGTGAGGAATACGTGCAACGTCTAAAACATACTAAACAGACATTAGTGCTGGTAATACTCACAAGTTATCCTCTATCTGTGCCTGATAATGATGTCTTTTAAGAACTTTGACAAAATGTGTGCACATATGGGCTCCATTATGTGCATGTATTAGTTGACAAATTTGATTTAATTTGCTTTCCTCGATCCGCTGAGCTGATTGATAGAGCCCTTTAGATAAAATACATTTCGATTAAGTTTTCTGCAGAGTATCATTTGTGACCGAAGTGAATTTCGGTTGTGCGAATCAGTAAAAAAGGGTCAACAGAAAGCAAGACAGCGGACAAATGTTCTTGATTAGGACATTAATATACCTTAATCCAGTAACTTTAATCCGGGCCAGATAGTGAGCTCTCTCAAATCTCAGGCATTTGCCATTTAACACCACATCGCTTCTATGTCCAGATTTCATAGTTAAAATGATGTCTATTATTGAATGCTTCCCCATATGAGATGCAATCAAATAGATCGTGACTGTTATTCACTTCCAATGCACGAAAATAAAGAAGGCTGTATTTCTCAACCCAATCCAGTATCACAGGCATGACATCCATTCACCATCTTTAGCTCCATGACCAACACTTGACAGGCATTCCTGTATATAGAATTGTATTAGTTCACGTCCATTGACACATATCCAAACACCTTGGTAATACTTTCCTTTCTGTTCAGTCCATTTTTCTCTGAGTTTCTTCTCTGTATGTGGGCAAGTCTGTGAAATATAAGTTTATATAACTCCTACATACACTCAGGCTAAACACCACGCCTCACTTGAGGCTTGTGATAAAGGATTATGCTTTATTTGCCTCTAGGCTTCTTAAGAGTTTCGGGTGTCTGCGTAGGGTAATCAGGTTTCTGAAACTGGCAGTCCCAGTGTGGTCAAAACTTGGCTTTAGTTGTTTACAGCAACACACTTCACAATCCGAGCAAGTGTTTAATTAGTGAACATTTTTCAACTACTTATTTCCTCCTATCTATCTTCAAGGTACTGCAGGCTGCGCTATACCTTTACCTGATCAAAAACTTATAAATCAATATAGTTCTCATGATGAGCTAGGTCATAAAAGAGTTCAACGAAGTATATGGGAGAAGGGAGTACTTAGTAAATATCAAATATTTTTTATTTCCTCTGACCAAATGTGATTTCCAATCGGGCTTTTGATAATAGACCATCGTCTTGAAATCCGTCTAGTATCTGACATTAATAGAATCAAGATGATTGGGAGAAAACCTTTCCGATACGAAGTTGTCAATGGCATCGGTGAAGATGTTAATTAAGAAATGAACATCAAAACTAGCAGTGATGCTACAATCGTATAGTCAACCATCTTGAAAATGGTTGATAGCGCAGTAGATCACCGTGAGTTTATTGCCAAAGTTACTTCTATGCTATTTGAGTCCCAGTACACATTATCTATAGTTCATGTTCAACATCGCATTTGCAGGGTAAATGTGAACTTTCAGTCGAAACAAGCAGATGGATATCTGGTCGCTGATAAAGGGATTCCTTTGAGGCAATTCCCAGTATACTGTAACGCAGGCGGTGTGACAGTTTTCTCAAGAAGCTTCCATTCAGAAAAGCCAAAATTTTCTATGGTGGCTTGATAATAGTTATGTTAGTCTTGTGACGCTGTTTGATCTTCCTCTTGACAACTGCCAGCCATAACGCATCAAATATGGAGAACGGTACAGTCTAATCCAACAAACACGTGATGAATTTAAAGGCTGGAAGTTTGAGTTGCGTTGCGTCAAATCAAAAGCATCCTACCAAGACCAAACCAACAATGTTGCTATGGCAATTTTAGGGTACTTAAGTTGGTTCGACTGCTATTTAGCATTGTGTGCGTCTGTAGTCTAGAGTGCACAATGCTTTTAATATGGATTGGAGTAAATTATACTACGACTAGATAAGAAGAGCTATCAGGCGTGGCAAATTGTTTGGGGCTCCAAAATTACCCCGAAGAATTCGCTGATCAAAGTTTTTGTGAACCGAATGGAGGGAAGATGATCAGTAGCTGGTTGGAATGCCAGGGTTTAGCGTTGACGCATTTGCTGCAATTTTATCGCGCACGCAGTGCCGGCACTTTTTGCTATTTCATTTCACAATTGTCATAGTTGACCCGAGTGGCGGGTTCGATGGATACTTCTCCGTAATATGTTTATTAAATATCGCGCAGATAAACATTGTTTTAAAATTATTATTATTGATGTGCAAATGCTCGGCATGCGTGGTCTTGAGTCAAGGTGACTGAACTCGGCAGGCCTGGTTCTACATTTTTTGAAATCTCAATTTCCCTTTTCAAGGTAAATCAAAGGGCTACTTTGTCGGTTCCTTGAGCCCTAAATCCGGAGTAATAAATAAGTCGAAGTATACATTTTGAAAAGGATTCTAAGCATATAATTTCTCTGCCGTGACGGATGATGAAAAAAAAACTCGCGATGAGCCTTTTTTTATGACAGAGCGCAGACCCACACGCAAAAAGGCAAATTGCGACGGTTTGATGCAGACACACATCACGTGACGCAGGATAATGTAGAGGACCATGTGATCGAGCCTTTCCGGACTTTTCCATTATGGGCAACCGCGGCTTACGATGCAATTATTGCACCACACTCAACGGGAATTAAGTCTTACAGCGACATGGCAGTAGTTTTCGATCCAAATAAATATTTTGGAAGAAAATGTATTTTAGCAATTAGTGCTCACACGGTTACAATTAGAGCTACTAAAAAGCACGGTATGATAGTGAGTTGAAACAAAGTACATTGTAGCATGCCGACTCAAAGGCGCCACACAAGGTCGCAGTCGGACCACCGCTACCACACACCTGTCAGAGTAGAGTAGAATTCCTCCGTGACTCAAGGAATCGCTCACGTCCCGCGTGGATTCCGATAAATAAGATGACAAACTACCGATGTTTCTGTAGGTTGTTTTACTGGCTCACCCTACTACTCTAGTATTATTTATAGCCTTTTCTCGTGTAGTTATAATTAGGCCTTTTTATGCTGCTTCTGTGGTTATTGACCGAACGCGATCTTTCCTTCATCTCCGTGATTGAATCTTAGCTTTCTTGCTGCCTACTACTATCCTCCAATCCTCTTCTGCCAAATATACTGGCCCTCACCAATTGCAATTTCATGTCTGATGAGCGCTTCCCTAAGGCTCATGTCTTCACTAATCTTTTTCTCATCGGTGGTAATTGGCCTACGAAGTCAATTGGTAATCTGCGGCAACAGGCAATCACCTCCGTTTCTCCTGTTTGCATTACGGATTTGCCAGTTGCCCAAACTACGTTCTGCACATTGGAGCGAGTTGTGCTAATTACCAGACTACGGCAAATTGATGGGTCGTGACCCTTAAAAAATTCTCAACGGCGTTGAGCTTGGAAGCAAAATCCCCTCAAGACTTTCTGAGCTAAAAAAAGTTGATTAGTCGCCCGTGCAAAAACGGATACTGGCACACGGTCATTTCACGGGTATGACCCATTGCTGTCGCTACACAAATACCACGGATATGCTTGTCTTAAAACTTATTAACGCCTATTTCTCGAACTAGAAGCTGTAGTTTTGGCTCAACCTACAAGTATTTAGTTCCAAATGAAAGACTCCAAAACCGTTTATGGGCCAATATGACGAAATCGCAGTCCATTACTAGCTCCACACAATAGTTCTGTCAATGCCAGTGATTTGAAGTCGACACGAACGTACACACCCAGACAGCTCTACCAGGCCCCCAAATTCATTCAGAAACACACACCAAAGTAGCTGATGTATCACAAGCATACATCCAAAGGCTAGAAATCCACTGCTATACAAGACTAGCACTAATAATGACCCACACAGTAAACAGAAGGAATCGTATGCGTGTCTACATAATTTAGTAGTAAAATTATAAGGGAACTAGCTCTGAGAAAAAAATAGTAGTGTAGGTAGGAGAGGTGATAGTTATAGACAGAGGAGTGGAAAAAATAAAGGAAGTAAGTCTGGTGTGTGTTTGTTTTATGTGCTTATGTACAAGAGAATTGCGCGGTTGATATCAGTGTGTTAAATAACGCAGACGGACACAAACTCGCAAACACACGCCATGTCGACCTCAGGTAGGAGGGGGCAGGAAAGATGTCGGCTGATTGTTGCTGTTGTTGTTGGCGTTGGAGGCGGTTACGCTGCTGGGCGCCAATAAACTATAGTAGGTTTGGGTTGGCCTCACCTAAAAATTTTACGGGCCAATAAACTGCCACAGGGGTGCATACGCCAAACACAATGGCGCTTGCTTGTTTGACTAAACATACGGTTTTATATCGTGGAGGGTCGTGGATCGTACGAAAAATTACAAAACAAAGCATCCCAATACTGAGCGAAACTAAAAAACACCATTGCCGCTGAGACGGAGGATAAGCCAATCGCTGTAAACCACATCGGAGCAGATAAAGAACTCACCTGGGCTTGTTGCTGCTGATGATGAGGGTGCACTCTCTGGACGCCGCACACATTTGAATTGCCATTATTAGGGAGAATCTCACGGTAAAGACCATGAGGAATCGAGGAAGCCTGTTGCTGTTGATCTTGTGGCCGGTTTGCAGGCAGTATGAGAGGCAACACCGTGGGTGCGGGTGTCGAACTGGCGGGGCAGGGGGAGAAACCAGAGTGTCTCCGGACCACCTGCGTTTGCGAAGGTGGCGCCTGTTTCGGCTGAATGGCAATAGGCGTCCGACACAAAATAGCATGCGACTTGTCAGTGCTGGGAATCAAGAGAAACTGTTGTTGGGTGACTGTTGCGCGTGGGTTCATAGACTGTAGAAGGGCAAGAGTCTCCGACAAGTTGTTCCCGTCAACAAGGAAGGCCCGTGTAGTCGTGCTGCCGCCGTTGCCGCCGACACCACTACCATTTGTCGAAACCGTGACTGAGGGCTGTTGTTGCTGTACTATTTGAAGCTGAGAATGAGCGTCAGAAGACTGGTGATCGGCTTCAGCCACTTCCTGTCCACCCTCGTTGCTACTCACCGAAGAGCCAGAAACTGATCGCGAAGGAGTCACCACAACACGCGCCTGTTTAAAATGGGCCAGAATTGCGGGAAGAGGACCGGGTATCCCACCTCCAGCACTACCGTGTTGAGGGGTAGCAGGAGCGGACACACTGTTTCCCATAAGCGGCATTGCGGCGGTGGGTGGTTGTAATGCAGGGGCGGAGACGGGTATCGCTGAATCTTGTATGGCATTCGGGCAACTATAAAAGTCGCCGGAATAGCTAGTGCCGGGGTTGGGGGTTAGACTACCACTAGGAGGGGGGTCAGGCAGAGGAACCGAAGCAAGGGAAGGCAGAGGTAAGGGTAGTTGACCAGAAGGTGTGGGTGGGGGATTTTGAGGAGGATGGTGTAGGTGTTGCTGGCCCATCATCATGCGCTTGGCGCGCAATTTTTCCCTTACACTTGCAAGGGTTTTGGTCTCTCGTGGTGGTGGCATTGTGGTGGGGGTGGCTGGAGTGCTGCTATCGACCACAAGGTGATGGCGCCCACTTGAATGAAACTCGCTGCCGCTGTGCGAGAGCCTTCGCCCAGGAGTGCCAATTGTTGAGCGTCGAGAACTCAAGGAAAGCTCAGACGATGGTTTGGCACCCTAGATGAATAGAGGTTTGGATTAAATTACGCAATACAGGCCGAAACTGGTGTAGGACGACAAGCACAACTACTAACACAAATCAAATGCCGTGGGAAACAAGAACAAAGATATTGATGAGTATGAAATGCAAAAGAAATCAAAAATCAGGCAAAATTATAGTGCGCTGTAATATATATCGGCTAAATACTGTGCAATTTCAAATTTGCCAACTGGAAATAAAAAGATGACATATGGGCATTAAAAATATCTCGAAAAACATGAGGCTGTGATCACCCATAAAATAAGACATCCAGAATAGTAGAACCCGACATTAAAAAATTATGCAGATTGATAAACAATACAATAGGGCACATTCAGAAAAAACCAAAGCGTCAACTAAATGACATTTGCCTTGAACTTGCAACTATTGTCAACTACTTAGAATTCCTAAAGCATTATTTCTTGTGAAACGAAAATATGGTGCTTCTAAAAATGAAAAAAAGGATCAGAGTCGCAGATAATTTTAGAAACACCTGTAATTAGAAAGCACGACAATCTGCAAAACAAGCACCAACTGAGTAATTCTTTCAGCAGATTTCTCAACGCCCGCAATTGTATATTATGGCAAGAGCTACAAGAGCAATGTCCATTTTTTCAAAACTCGCGCCATTACCTCAGCAAAGAGACCTACGACACTATGAAAATTTTGTGGAAAGACCTAAGGGTTTGTCTACTTCAGGAAAGATGAAACGGATGAAGAGATTTAAGACAGTCCTGTCTCAAGTAATTGCAGAATTTTAAAGTTAACTTGGGTTGACAAAATGTAGGACCCGCCCCAGTCCACGAAAGGGTGCACCAAGAGGAACGTGAAGACATGGGTTTGTAATGACTTGACGACCATTGAAAAAAAAAACAAGAAAATCAAAAACGGTGAGCAAACGTCCAATTTCACTTTATGTGTCTTTACTACGCCCATGTGGTCCTACTTTGTAGGGTAAAAACAAGCCCCTTCTTTGACGTACCCCAAGACAGTTACTAAAACGGTGTGGATGGCCGACTGCCACTAAATGTGGCGACCTGCCTGCTTTAAGGGTAATAACGGTTGCAACAGCTCAGCTTGCCAGGAGCCGTGCGTGGGCAGCCTCGCGACTGCACGCGTCACAATGATCGTTTCCCCGAATCCCGCCAAACCGTTCCAATCTACTCGTGACCAAAAACGTTTAAAGGCGTTTAGTGTAAATTCCCGAAGGCTAATTACAACACGTCGTTGAAAGGCAAAATTCCAAAATTTTTCGCTCATCAGGCAAACAAATTGAACTTCCTTTAACACATGCGTAAAACAAAATTTTAGAAACCCGACAGTTTCAGTTATATCATGATCTGAATCATTTGAATAAAGTGGTATGACTTTCACGCATGAATGCGTTGCGCAAGAAAAGTGCACACAAAACCAGCACGAAGTAAGACATTAATTTGGAGATCAGATTCTGCCTTGTGTAATTCCCATGAGCCCATACAGAAAACCTGTCGTCTAAATATACTGCATGATCTGACTCTTACAACCAAGCTATTAGGCACGCGCAGGGATTATACTTCAAGTTCCCCAAATCTAGTGTGAAATTTGATCCTGATATTAACGAAATCAATCAGCACCAGTGACACACTTCGCCTGCTAATATTGGACCTATTTAGACCATTGTTGGAACAAGACAGTAGATAAAACCTTATCAGGCAGGAGTATCAAGGCACGAAAACTAAATCCCTGATGGAGCATATGAAGTGACTAGTTCAGGGATTGGTAAATTGCGGCGCGGTGCAGTGCTTCAATTTAGCTTACGTCACTTTGATACAAGCCCTTTCATTCAAATACGAACGATTGGGATCAGTTCAGACCAGCAGTATTAAGCGTTAATGAAATGCATGGACAATTTTCCAAACGAAAGAACCTACTCTAGATGGCAAGAGCTTCAAAACGGCCGAGGCCACTTAAAATTAAATGCAATAGGTCAATGAGAGGCTGTAACAGTGCCAGTCCCTGAAATACCCACCCCCAAAATGCAGACTCCACACCTGTTCGTTAGTACTTTGATCCCGCATTCGATGTCTTTACGATGCAAGGCAGTCCCTCATACACAAAATTCAGGAATATTGCTGTCTGAAGGCGAACACGGTTCTTTGCAATTAACTATGTTCCGATCGTCCGTGAGCGCAAAACCGGCACACTATTTCTGGTCCCTTCAAACACCGATACCAATACCGTTATTTCTAGAAAAAAAATCTAGCACTTATGGCCACACCTGCAAAAGCATCACAAGCAGTCGAAATTGGACAAATTCCACCAGCCCTCAAGCAAGCAGATACAAGGAAACCGGTAAGTTATTTATGTCTAAAGGGAATCGTCATAGCTAGTGTCTAGAAAGTGACTGACTTAAGTTAAATTCTAATTCGAATATCTGATATTTGGTCATTCCGGAGAATTCGCAAGAGCTCACTGCGATTGTTGGTTATTCAAGTAAGGAGGCAGAGCCTATTTCGGTATCTCTTTTCGGTGGTGAACAAGGACCAGGTCAGTAGCCAATAAAGGAGCACATTTTGTAGTTTACTGCTTTTTTCCCAGCCATATAAATGAACATAATTTGGGCTCGTCAAGCCTAATCACCACCAGAAAACTATCCAGATAACAGTTTCGTAAATTCAACAACGAGAAGCAATCAATTCTGTGTGGAAAAAAACTCACCGCTCTTAACGAGACCACATTAGTCAAACGAACTGACACGCGGGTTCAAGTAAAAACATTCCCTAGAATACCGATTCATAGTTAACGAAATTAACCACTACCAGACGCACGTTATTCAAGCAAAAGTGAGGTATCTAAATATATTTACTGGCCTAAATCGAAACCAAACTGGTAGCAACCAGAGTAATAGAGCAACGTCAATTAATAAAAGATAACTATTTCTAAAAGCAGGCAAATTTATCACTAAACACACACACACACATTTAGCTGATACGTAGTCAAGATTGTGAACAATCTGGACGGTCAACTATCTTAATTTGCAGAATTACAGAGCAAGGTCACCAAAAGACCAAACTATGACCAGCGTATCACCGCACAAGATACGCATGAAAAATGTGCGTTGGGATTGATGGAGGAAAAAATATTACTTGGAGAGTGAAAAAGATAAAATTAACAAATTGCTACCATCGGCAACCCCAGGTTTAACCCATGCAAGGATTACCAACACAAAAGCCCGGTTTCCTGGTTGGTCAAGACATTTAACAGGAGTTAACACCATCCTTTTATTTTAGCTACTGGGTGAGTCAATCAGGCTGTAAAGAACCAGATGAGTACCTGGATCGGCAGCCGCAGCATACTGTCAGTTCTCTAGACTCATCGAGGAAAGCCAGCAAACAACCGCCAGAAAATGCCATTCTGGGTGTGTGAAGTGACGAAATAATTAAGCTACAGTGGAAGTGAATTTGCATGTACCACATACATACACGCCACGTCAACGCGAACTTTCATGACGGAAAGGGTCGTGTGGCGAAATTGTATTCACAGTAGAAAGTGGCAGACGGATGGGCTGCGCACTCTACGGACGCGTACCCCACACCAGTAAGTGCACACAGCAAAGCGTTAATTAGTGATGGAAAACTCATGCACCAAAATGCAAATCGTCGACGAATGCGATTTGACACGAACTATTCTAATAGTGGTATAAAAGGGAAAATATCTCCCCAGGGGTAAGGTGAAATTGCTGCCAAGGTAAGGATCAAGTACTGTGGAATAATACGGAGATGGCACAGACCTACAAGGAAATGTGTACATATTTCCATAGCTCATCAAAACACACCATTCAAATTTGACCACGTTAGATTATACCTACAACCGTTAATTCAGATGGTTTACAAGTTGGTACTCTCTGCCTTACAAAGTCGATATTATCGAAAGTCAATTTTTTCAAGTCATGAAACGAGTGGCACCCAAATAAAATCACCCTAAATCTTCATATAACACATCGTTTTTGTCGGAAGCAACTTTCAGTGTTTAAATATAAGGAAGGTCACATTCAATGCCTCGTAAAATAACCTAAAAAAGGTAGGTGAGGATGATGATAACGGGGAATAAAAGTTAGCAATGGAGTTGAAAAATTAATAAAGGGATGCCACTTAAAGCACCTAAGGATCTAGTAAATAGTGCAGGAGTCGAAGTAACCGACAAAACTGATATGCTGTTTAAATACGAAACCCAAATTGGAGACACCAAAACAGTTGCATAGTTGAAAAATGACAACAGTTTAAACGGTAAAAAATTGACGCAGTAACAGCCAGTATTGACATATTAATCGACTACATAGTTTACATTGCGTGTCCATCTAAACATGGATAAAACCTTACCGAACATCACAATCCTAAAAAAGTATAATACAGAACGCTAGCTTGGGTATTATTCGTGCTCTTAAAAGTTTATATAGGAAAAATCGCATCAACTAAAAAACTGCACGAGTTACATTTTAGAAGTAGAAATTCAACAGTAAACAACTTGTTTGAAAATTAGGGCTAACAGATAAGCGAATGCGAATACGATTAAATGTAAATTCACATTGCTTTAAAGACGCGTGATTGCCCCGGTAACAAAAAACAAATTTCGACATTATTTTCTGACGAATGGTTAGGATGCCATTTAGTCAAAGTCGAGTTTTGAAAGAATTTACAACGCCCATCAGGTGGGGTCAGTGGGATACAATTCCATCCGGCGTGCATTTCTTTGCTAAGATTAACAGTCCACAATACTTTCAAGAAGTCTTTATGATTCGATGAACTTGACAGAAGCATTGCCTAATTGCTGATGGAGGTTGGGAAGAAAACACCAATAAACCATGAAACAATTGTTATGTTATTCCCCGTAACTATTTATTTTACTATGCTGACTTCCGTTAGAACACTGTTCAGTTCGACCCTCAGCAGTAAACACCTGGCATATTATTTATGCTTAATGTTTACGCTGTTTATTATCGCAATATTTTTCGTTTAGGATAACACGTGAACTCCTTTACGTTTCAAGTATTCTTTGTTGCTCTTCTATCAGGCGTGTCAGTCTGCTAGGGTTAAAGCCGCTAATGCTATTTATAGACAGGTTAAACGCACTTGATAGTGTAAAACATGTTAAAACAACAGGACAAGGGACACGGATAAAACAGCGAGCAACACCCGAAAATTCAAACAGGATAAGACGGTTCATTCCTTCATTGCCTGGACAAGTGGCATGTTCTGAAAGGTGATAAAAGGTGTACAACTAGGCGACCATTTCGAGTATGGAGTTGAGAACCAAATGTGATTGTGGAAACAGGGCTGGCGGTGGCTACGCGAATACTAGAACGCTGCTGTAACAACAGTAAAACTGATGACATCACGCAGCCAATGCTATCATGAAAAATCAACCAATATGCGAGAAAACTAATCAGGTGGTTCTTATGCGAAGATTGAACGTAACAAGTTTTAACAATTTGCAGGGAGGCGGAATGGTCATATAAACACGGAGTAAGAAAATAAGTTGTCAGCAAAGAGCAACTTTGGAAAGCGCTAAAATCTGATAAAAAACCCTGTCAAAAGCCATGATTTAGATTATGCAGAAATGAAGTTCAATCTTGTTAGTACGCTTGATTTACCGTTAGGGTGTAATGACAATTGCCATACATTTTCAGCTATTTAATTTAACCGACACAAATATTTTAATGTTTAACGGAGAAAATGACGAAACACTAAACTAATTTTGGCTGGGATTGAAAATTCCCACCTGCGGTGAACAAAACTGTCAACAAAAAGCAAAAACAGAAAAAGTCCCTTTAAACTCGTAGTGCACAAATAACGAATGAGGTCATGAAAGAGGCAACTATATAGAAAAATTGACGTACATTTTGCAGTAGGAGAGTGGACTCGAGCTTGGGCATGCTAAGCCTTCGAAGAGTGGGTGGCTCAGAAGAAACGGGAGAGGGCCGCAAGACCGGCCGTTCTGATTCACTAGTGGGTACCGACGATAGGGGCATCAAAGGAGCCATACTGCCAGGAGCACCGGCAGTGGTTGGTGAAAAACCACTGGAAGGACTCGATGAGGAGTGACAGTGTGGTGAAGGAGGTGACGATGTGGTGGACGACGAAGAGGATGGAGAGACGAAGGGGGAGAAGGCCGATTGTGCGATTGCTTTTCGCCTCCTGCTTAAACGTGTGCCAATCCCTTCTTGCTGGTCACCATCCTCGTTCTCTGTTTTTGTTTCCACGGATTGCGTTGTTGACTTCGATTGAAGTGGGTCGCACTTATTTCGAAGCCGCGAAATTGGTCCCGTGACACCATTAACTTTCGCTTGACTTCCACTTGTCTACAGGAATATGTTAGAATACAACAAAATTACATTATGCAAACCCAAGAAACATTTATTAAGCCGCCTTTGTATATACAACAGTGAGAATATTTGGCCAAATACTGGGACCTTTACTTCAAGTTATGGCAGGGAAAACATGTAAACATAAATTGAGACACATTTGCAAAATTTTTTGAATATGTAGATACTTGAGCAAGGAGTGTGTAAGGAAAATTTGAACAGTTATTAAGCATAGATCCGTACAACAGTCACTTATTTAAGCTAGGTATGAAAATTGAACATGATATGAAAAAACCCATTGAAACGTTTAGGCTACGGAAAAGAATTTCAGTAAATAAAAAGTCATGGTAAAATGATTACATTATGGTAGTTGTACAAATAGAGGTAGCCCACCATGAAAATCCACACTTTGGTTGACAAAATGTGGGTAGCATTTTACATGTGCGGTGCACAAGGTAGCTTAAAAGTGAGGATATAAGGATAAAGGGAATAATCCGATTTAAGCCTACGTAAGAGCCACGGGGATATTGTTTCAACGCTTCTCCTGGCGAAAGCTGGACTACCAATAACGAAAAAGTGGTCTTCCTGGAAGAAATCATAACGTAACCAGGCTGCTTGTCATTGGAAAATGGTTGACGGGTAGTATAGCCACACCGTTATGGCAATGGTAAGATACATTCTAGACAACAAATCGCTAATTATGTCCAATATGAATCGCACTTATGTGAACATTGTTTATGTTGCAGGTGCCTCACATCAACGGGGTTCAGAAAAATGTACCGCTACACCGCCTGGGGGGAGGTCTAGAAGCTAGAGTACGGGGTAATAAATCGCACTCAACCAGCATTATGAAAGAGTATGTGTTCTCCCCTCTTGCCATGTCCGGGAGTTAACAATGTGGGGAAATTTAGCTTAAATAACCACTAAGATGATAACATGAGTAATCTAATAGGATTTAATCAAATTCCAAAAAGCGCGCATGGTAAGACTTACAGATTCGGGGAGCAGCTGATTGATCAATAAGAACCTACAATTAGTGATGGAGTATCACATTTGTCTTTGGTATTTAATTCAGAAGTCTGTGGTCGCGATGGCAAACCAGATAAAGATGTTGGAGAGAGGATGGGAGTTGAATAACGTTGACGATTCCCAACGGACTTTCGGAGACCTGTTCGAGCGTTTACACGAGGAGCAAAATCTCCATTCATTTGACGAGTGGAATAGTCTTGCAGGGCCTTAGAGAGAAATTCGTTGTTCAGTGCCGTTGGGTGGATCCAGTAGTCAGAAGACGCAGAAACCACAGAAGTTGAATCAGTTGGAGGAGTCTGATCGTATAGAGGCAAGAGACTCAACAGGCGGCGCCGTGACTCTAAAGGCAACGCTTCGAACGTTTTGACGTTTATTAGTTTCTGGAAAGCAAAACAAACAATGTAGTAAAAATCGAAACGGCAAATACATATATATTCTATTAACAGAAAGGCAAAGTAAAAACCTCAAATCACCAAAAAAGCAGAAGCGAGCACCGTCGGCTAGTTGGCATTAATGAAGGGGAAAAGCGTGCCAAATTCTGGATAAATTAATGACTTCGAAAACATAAAAACAATTCCACTACGTCTGAATAGACCTAAACACAATTCGCCTGTATCCAATTCCTATATTTAACGAAAATAATGATAGTCGAATATGGATGGATGGATCGGATGAAACGCACCTTCAAGTTTATCTTAGTAAGCAGAGAATCCCTTCTTTCAAAATCAATATTGCCCACATTCCCAACCATTTTACGCTTTCTGCTACCTCGTACTGGATCCTGAGAAGACTCGAGCTAAACTCAATAAAAGAAGAAAGAAACTACCCACCATCTTCTCCGTGCCATTATGTGGAGAATTACTGGTCGCGTTTGCAATACCACATTGATCACCTATGTTGTGTTCGTTGTAACTTTGCTCCAAAGTATCGCTCATGAGATCAACGGACCCCAGTGAGCTCCCCATATCACTGTTTTTATCCAGAGATGGTGATGGTCGCAAGCAAATGCGAATTTTCGGTACATAAGGAGAATCCTGCGCAATTTTCGCAGGGATAATCAGTTTAGAGGTGGCGTACATTCGTCAACAATGAAGCCAGTTATGAGAACAACATTGATCTCAATGATGTAATGTGGCCAAGTGATTTAACCGGCCGGTTGTACTCATGAATAGCTGAAAAACACTCAAGCAAAGCAGGAGGAAAATATTTCGAGCCAGCCTCTGCGACAATAAATGTTGCTCATTAAAACAAATTGCATTTAAAAAATTTAAGAAAAAATGATTGGCAATTTTTTTGAAAGTAAAGATATTATATAATTATTCTGCTGCCTTTAGTGTTATGCCATCTTTCTTTTCTCGTTTACTCCATGACCTCGTTAATATAAAAAAACCCAAATTCTCAAAACCATTTTCATTTATTGATTGAATTCGCTAGCCATCACTTGCTACCTCGAGTGTGTGTACAAAAACTGTTATGCTGATGGTCATTCTTACATATTTTTCTAAAAATAATAATTTATGGCTCCAAAATATTGTTCCCTGTCCACACCAATATACTCACTACATGATAAAAGCTCCAAAGTTCCTAATAATTTTGTAATTTAGACATGACCAAATTTTTCTAAATCCTTAAGGTTTTTTGAACTTTGCGAAGCTCTTTTTTTTACTATGACCCACAGTCAGAACTAAGGCACGTTATATGGTATCTGCAATGTTGAAAATCTTAAAGTAAAATGACTGTCAATTATCGAATAATTTGCTTATTTCCTGACAAGGTATGATCAATTGACATTTCTTAGCTCAAAGCTTTAGCACTTTTGTAATCGTACAAATAACCTATGTAGTTCCGGAGTTTCTTTCTAGCCGTAGCGAAAAAAACCAATCTGTGCCATGTTCGCATCTTCAAAATACTCTTTTCCGCATGATATACAATGGTTGGTGTTCTATTAAAATAGATATGTAAAAAAACCTATATATATCTGTATGTCTACTTCTATACGTGAATAAAACTTAGTCATTTAAGGCATACTGTAACCAATTTGCGTAAACACTTCAGTATAATCGGTTCCCTATCCACCTAATTTTTTAACATTCCAGACGACTAATCAATTAAGCAGATAGCAAAATATTGAATATGCACATAAATTATTTATTAACGTGCTTTAAAACCAAGTGCTTTTCCATTTAATATCTCGCGAGTTAGCCTTAAGATTTTACTGGCTTTCTTTTCCGCAAATAAGCGTATAAATCTCAGGAAGTTTCAATTGTAATTACTGCTATAAAGTAATGTCGATGATATAAATATGTTTATTTTTCTTCATTTTGTGGATTATTACAGGATTTAACATCGTAAATGTAGGAATTGCTACTACGAGAATGTTGTATGAAATTGGGTATGTATAATTGCTCTTTTCTAGACCACTTCTAACTTCATAGCTTAGCAATGTTACTCATACACATTTAATACAATATATCCTATCTGTATATGGAAGCTGAAGTATTCTCATGTAAGGTTTGCTGCCTTCGGCTTATGCTTATGTGTGAGTTTGTAAAGTAACCAGAACAATGACGAAATCGCCGAATATGTGAATGATTTTCAAAGGAAACATATTTTGCAGAACGTTAAGTCTGCCTTTACTACAATCTCTTTTTGCTCGTATTAAACGAATGAGACCGATTTTATCCTATTGTGCTTAGACAATTAACTAAATACCAACATGTTTAGTGAGCCACAAATATCTTTACTGGGCTGCCTCATTATCAATACCTCCTGCATGAATTTAAGGATAGCACCTATTTTGTCATCTCAAGTGACGTTAAAGACTGTGGGATATCGTGAATACATTAGTACTTTGTCTAATGTATATTTAATTTTTAATATCTTCGGATGTACATTTACCATTAAACACCTTAATTTATCATTGTCTTTATTTTTTCGTTGCCGTAAAAGGCAACAAGAAGATAACATTGAGACAAATTGTACGAATTATTAATCGCATCAGTTAAGGGGCATGTAAAAAATCCATTGTGTCGATTTCCTAAATGGTCTGGTTATTCGATGACACTCGTAACCTGTATTCAAAGATCAGATGTTTTACTTAGATGTGACGGACTGAATTCAAGTTGATATAAGAGTTTTTAATGATGAAAAAAGCGAAAAAGACTGTGTTGGTGCATCACAATTTAGTTCAAACCTATTTCGTTCTCCTGTATTAACCTCTTCTTGCTTTATCATGCTCAAATTTCATATGGTATCAGTCCAAACACTCACTGAAACCTTGACATTATGGAAATAGCTTTGATTGATAGTAAATGCTTCTTGAGAATTAACAACACAATTTTCCCCTGGCAGTTATCCTAACTGGGTTTTGTCAATTGCTGTAGACTGAGGAGAGAGCTATGCTATTTTTCTTGATGCGAGAAACTTAATATTCGCTTGAGTCCAATAAACATTGAGAGGGATCCTCCATACATCTATGAGTGGTGGATTTCGTTTGGCAGATTCGTGGTTGACACAGGTAGAACTTATCTTACAGTCTACGAGTGTAGTTATTGATAAGGACCTGGTCCTGCCATTGTCAACTAGAAACATCCCAGGCTGAAGGAAGCTGATCACTGAAAATATGTTATAAGTTTCATCTAGCATAGCTCATTGGTGCACAAAATTGATTTTATCTTCCTAAATTCCAGTTGGTCAATACTGATAACCTTTGAAATCTTCATCGACTAGTTATTTTGGAACCTGGAATTGGAGATTCGGAAACTTTCAAATTTTCATGCACTCTAAAATTTGGATTTGCAGCATCAATTTCTCTTTTCAATTTAATTTTAAACCCATTGCAATTTTCTACATATTAAAATCGTAGTGGTTATATCAATAAGCATCTCCAGAAACCGCGTTATTCAGGCCAACTCCTATGCTCTTGAGCATGTGTACATAACATATCCAATAGTTTGAAAATGTTACCCTCTTCAAATTTGCCACTGCTACCCTGGCGCAAGCGGCATATTTTGTCCTCACAATTTGTGCAAATCTAAGTTTTTCCATCTGTAAACGGGCATGTGATGACATCTCAATGTGCGACGTTAGACATCCCCACGAAGTTGTTTTGAAATAACATATATTTTCCTGTTTGGGTCTTTTATTTATCAATTTGTCTGGTGTCCTTGTTGCAAATGAATGAATTTTTAAAAAAGTAATTCCTTAAATTAGGGATGGGATTTTTTGGTACACGTTGACCAATCAATTAATGACTTTTTCTGTGTGCTTTGTTTTGCTCCACCTGAGGTTGTAATTTTGGTTTGTCTTCACGCGCCGATGACCGAAGTGTCTGGTTTGGCCACCCAGAATGTTGAGACATTGGTAACATTAAATCTGTAACATACAACTTTTTAGGATGTTTCCAAGCTCACTCCTCTCACTCCAGAAGTTATCAGTCGCCAAGCAACCATTAACATTGGAACTATTGGTCATGTAGCCCATGGGAAAACGACGGTTGTGCGAGCGATTTCCACTGTACACACTATTCGTCACAAGAATGAGCTTATCCGCAACATTACGATCAAACTTGGATATGCCAACGCAAAGATATACAAATGTGATAGTCCAGATTGTCCGCCTCCGGGTTGCTATCACTCTTACGGTAGTGCCTCTCCGGACGTTGTTGACTGTCCTCGGGAGGGTTGCGGTGGCAAAATGCATCTGTTGAGGTTCGTACGTTATTCCGTAGTGCTTCCTTCTAACAAGTTTTCTCAGATGTTTTCCTGTTTTAGTTACTTCATGTATGTGATTCCGGTTTCACCGATAAGTGCCGCTGTTCTAATTTGGCTTTTTGCTCTATGTAGGCATATCTCCTTCGTCGACTGCCCAGGTCACGACATTCTCATGGCAACAATGTTGAACGGCGCTGCCGTTATGGATGCAGCAATACTTCTGATCGCAAGCAACGAACCCTGTCCTCAACCTCAAACCAGTGAGCATTTGGCTGCTGTAGAAATCATGCACTTAAATACAATCCTCATTCTCCAAAACAAAATTGATTTGGTCAAAGAAACTGCTGCTCGTGACCAGTATGACCAGGTAATCTGTTGAAATTATTGTATTGTTTCCGGGCTTGTTTTATCTTGCACTACTTTAAGTGGTGTTATCGAGCATGTTAAACCATTGCAGGGGTTTTCCTCGGCTAACATAAATCGAACTAGTGTCATATTTGCTAGCCCAGTAGTGTTCTACCTTTTTAATGTGTTCCAAATGTAACTGGTTCATTCCTAACCTTGTAATTTGTGATTTTTTGTAATGACTGATTTAATCCATTTTTTTAAATAAAATTCAAAAGGTAGTTTTTGTCGATTGACTAATACGTTTAAGTCTACCAAGCGTTTCAAGTGTGCATGCTTTGTACACATGGTGGTCCTGCTTTAACTCTTTACCGCAACTGGCCGTAGTCTTACGGTGCAACCTTTAGGTGCCGGTTTGAACACTCATTTTTCCATTTTTAGATCTTAAATTTCATCAAAGGAACTGTCGCAGAAAACGCCCCAATTATCCCCATTTCGGCTCAACTGAAGTATAACATTGATGTCGTGTGCGACTACATTGTGAATAGTATTCCAATTCCTGTACGAGACTTCACTTCTGACCCACGTCTTATTGGTACGTCTGATTAAAGTACAATTATAAATCGTCATATCAGACACTTTGCTGCCAGTAGATCATTGATTGGGCATTTTCGTATTCATGTGTGGCGTAAATTATGTCGTCAATGGAAAGAAAACGCCGAGTGTCTTTTAGTCATCTTCAGTACGAACGAGTGGTTATACTCATTAAAAATCGGCGCTGTCAAGCTTTGAGCAGTTGTTGGACAAATTTTTTAAATCACTGTTGAGATCTTTTAGGTAATACATTATTAACAGTGGAAATTCTGTTACCTAGAATTATTTTGTCGTAATTCCTTAACCGTATTTGTTTCTACGCACCGAAAATGTCTTGGTGTGTTGCATGTTTTGACATCGTTCTCACTCAATGTTCCGCTTTTATAGTAATTCGGTCATTCGACGTAAACAAGCCCGGTTGTGAAGTAGACCAGCTTCGTGGCGGCGTAGCAGGTGGTAGCGTTCTGCGTGGTGTTCTCAAGGTTTGTGTCCTTTTCCGTTTGCATTCTCGCGTTCTTGGCTACAGGAAATCCAGTTCAACTATTTTAAGTTCTAAATTCATTTGTCTACTCGCGGTACAAGGTTTGAGACTAAGCAAGATCAAACATGCTTAGACACTGGAAAGTTTCACTCAGTCCCACATCTAAACCAGCTAATCATTCATGTTGAACAAAAGTCTCTGTGTTTAGGCCATTTAGAAGAGCATAACTGGCTAATGACTCGTTAAAGGGAAATTGGGTGCTAAAACTAACCTTTGTGCTTATTTCTATTGACTAGTCATTCGTTACATGTATTAGACAATGCTAAGTGTCACTAAGGTCGAGTTTAATTTGTTTCAACCACTCAACAAAGTACAAAGGTGTGTTGAACTTCATGCCGCCAAGCCACCCGAACGTTGTGCCTTTGCCACGACCAGACAGACAACGTTACAACTACTGATCAGTTTAAGTAGTGATTAATTTCTGTGATATAAATTGTTTGACTCCCAACAACTCATAAAATCTTTCAATTTTCCACTAACAGAAACATATTTTTAGTGCTGCGAAGTCTGCACCACCGTAGTCTGGTTCATTTATCGATTGTTTTACTGCCGTGGACAAATCCAGTGATTTTTACACGGTTGTTTTGCGGTTGCAGTGAAATAGGCTATTGTTCTCAATTTTCAAGTATTTCCATAAACAAGTCATCACGTCATTCTGTGGGGCCTAGTCAATGACTTGATATCGAAATGCTTTGCGCTTTAATGGGGTTGGTCTTGCTTCTGCATGTGATTTTCCAGCGGTGACCACGTTACGCCTCGCAGATACCCGAGTAGACTGAGGCAACGGAAACAGTTGTTTATTGCACGGGTGAACTCACTTGTGGTTGTGCCACTTTCAGGGCAAATTAGGTAGCCTTTTGCGGTCACGAATCTTGGCCCCTTTCACCTCAATTTTAGCGTGTACATTCCACTTATTAATCCAATGGACAATTTTACGGTCCTCGTGTGTTAGGGGGTTTATTGTCATCAGCTCCTCCTATTTGTGCATGACCCTATTAACGCGAGTCATCCGAAATTAGATGCTATAGCCTGTAAATCACATCGGATTCTGCATTGGGATCTTAAAGTTGTTGAGCGTTTGCGTAATGCTGCGTGGCAGACACTGCAGTGGAGACGTCCGATCCGTTTTTTGCCGAGCTCTTGCCAAGGGTTTGCACTTTTCACGCTTGTAGGTTGGTCAGGAGATTGAAATTCGCCCGGGTCTCGTGTCGCAAAAAGACGAGTCCGGTCAAGTGACCTGCAGACCCATACGCTCCTGCATTCTCTCACTCCTGGCCGAGCAGAACGATCTGGCCTACGCCGTGCCCGGTGGCCTGATCGGCGTGGGGACCAAAATCGACCCGCAGCTCTGCCGCGCGGACCGGCTCGTCGGCCACGTGCTCGGCGCGGTGGGCACCTTGCCCGAGATCTACGTCGAATTGGAGATCTCCTTCTACCTCCTCCGACGTCTCCTCGGTGTGCGGACAGAAGGCGATCGAAAGGGTGCCAAGGTGAGACCAACTTGGATGTCTTGTGGTCAAGGTCCCTCTTGTAGCCATTCGGTTGTTTACTCAGCACTGGGCTTTACTGCTAATCCTCCAATCTCATCGATCCTCACCTAATTTATGATATTTGCAAATCCTACCAAACATTGCGACTTTTGTGGATATCGATGAACGAAAGTCAACATTGAAATGTCACTTCCTCGTTGTTTTTATAGGTTCAAAAGCTGGCGAAGCGGGAGATGCTTATGGTGAACATTGGTTCTCTGTCCAGCGGCGGTCACGTTGTTGCCGTTAAGGGTGATCTGGCAAAGATCGCACTGAACACTCCCGTCTGTACTGAAGTCAATGAGAAGCTGGCCCTAAGTCGTCGTGTTGAGAAACACTGGAGGTGAGAATTTTGGCACTTTTGCGGGCCCCCGTTTTTAAATTTCATTGACGTGTTTGTTGAGGTACTCTATTTGTAATCGAAATCACTGCCGATTTAGACAGAATTAGTTCTCCCGATTTAATCGACCTTCGAGTTCCTAAACGCAATATTTAAGACTTGGAGTGTAGCGGATTCCGAAATTGTAGTACTACTACCATTAAAGATTACGTGCTCCTATTTTATGCATGTGTTGATGCTTCACCTTTCGTCATTTTCAAGTCGGATTAAATCCTGCTAACAGAGAAGAGCCCGTTCCGTTTAATCACACCACCATTTACACTTAGTTGGAGTCAGACCTCTACCGTAGTTCAGTAGTGATTGCAATCCCCGGTGAAACTAAATTTTGGCATGAATAAGTTCTCCGGTCATTGTTTAACAATGCTGACGCTTTACTTGACTTTTACGTGAATGATTGACCGCGGATGCTTTTTGGTCCACTTTAGGTTGATCGGTTGGGGCAAGATTCGCCGTGGCGTGACGATTACTCCGAAGAATTAGGTGCGCCAATTCGTGCAACGCAACTTGCGCGTGCGTCTAACCTATCTACGAGGCCGTCCGAAATCCTTCCACTCCTTCACATGCTCCCCTTCCCAGCCTTACTTCTTGCTACCTGTGAAATCAGAAACTGGTTTTGATACCTGACATCTGTCAGTCCTGAAGTGTACTCTGGTTAGCAATTGAGGTTTAATAAAGCTTATGCACTGGTGACACTGGCGTGACTCACAAAAGCTCGAAAACGCCCCACTTGGGTGGCTTTTAGACCAGCTTTGTGTGTTTGGGGTATTAAGTGTTGGGTCCCGTTGCATATGAAAGTGGTGTAACACGCGTTAGTCCGTACCTGTCCGACTGAAGTGTCCAGTTGCAGAGAACGACAATTCAGCTAGCATGTCCACTATGGTCATTTTGAGCTGCTTCTGTTCACGAATAAGAGGGCCTTTGTGTGGAAGGACCTGGATTGTTGTCATTTCATTGAAGCCCAACGATTTGAAAGCCAATAACTTATCACCATTGTTGTTAACAGAGTTCTTTGGTAGGTGAACGCTTCTGGGTGTGATTCATGTGTAGAAAGGTGACGGTGTGGTCTTAGTTATACACCATCGAAGATGCCTAGATTGTGGATTCCAGCCACGCCATACAAACATCTGGTATGTCTGCAATTTTACATCAGCCGTTGCTTTGTTTAGCTCAGTCCATCAAGTTTATTCTCAACTTAGTGAGCTTTTCTACTTATTGTTAGTTGAAGTCTGGATTTCTCATCGGAATATTAATGAAGCAGTTATATCCTAGTCTCTAACTGATACTATTTTGTTTTACTCAAACGTAGATCCGTTCTCATGCTTTCAAATATGGGTGTTGTAATATTGGAGAATTTTGGACACAGCAAATGTGATCCAGGAGGGTCTCTGTCCGCGCCAGGAGTAATTTGCTTTCGTGGGAATCATTCGGATGGATTCATTAACCTCAGGAAGACTGAACTTGGCTGCCTGTGCGGTTGACTGGGTTACAGAGGCGTGGGGATTAGAGCCTGCCATAATCGCTGCCGGACATCATCCCAAATGGTATTGGCGCCGTTTGCTCACTAATGCTCGCAGATAGTGGTGAGCGCGTCATAATTAATTTACTCAGATGGACCCACTGCACCCGGACGCGCAAAACCAACCTGTGGAGGATTGCGGTTATCTACTGGTAACATCAAGGTCGCCTGGCGCCATGGCTATTTGCAAGTGGTGGTGGTGGCGGTAGTAATGACGGGGAGAAACAAGTGTGGGGTGTTCCGGTGGTTACTGAATGGTGCGCCAGAGCATATGCCTCTAAAAGTCATGCTACAATATCGGAAAACCACTAAAAACGAGATGGAGTGGCCATTATGGCTGGGAAGTTTGCGCCTGAGAGGAAACTAGTTTAATTTAATTAATTCTTTTTGCATTAACACCAAGCCCAGAATTTGTTACAAGTAATATTTATGACTAGTCACTAACGCTCGTGGTTTTTATGCTAGGGGTACAGTGGACCTTGAACGTCGAAGAGCTTGTGCCACTGTAAGCTGGGTTGTTCTTGATGCCTCACTTAGATGAAGCCCGACGACCCTCTAGAACTCGGACTTTGGCAAAAGAAATCAGCCTTAAAAGTGCTGATGTCTCAATGGTCCTCCTATGAAGCTCTGTCTTAGAAATCCATCAACGGCATCGAAGATATCTGAAAATCCTTAGAACAGCTAGTCTTATTTTTCTCACAAGCATGAGTGCAAAGCGTCGTAATGTACGGCACATCCAAAAAGCAGTGGCTTCACTACCTCCTCTAGCAATGTGTGGCTGCCTGCAGACACTTTTCCCAGCTCTCAAAAGATCCAAATGTATGTCTTTACCTTAAATAAAAAGTAAAATACCCTACTTGCTATCGTTTATCTCCGTTGGTGTAGCGACTTGTTATACTGATGACATGAAACCGTCTTCGACAAAATAATGATAGTAGTACGCGGAACCGCTGTGGCAGGGCAATCACTCACGTTCTCTGTTCTTGTTCCCTTATTTGGAAGCCGAACACTATAATTTAGTTGATGCATTCGTGGAGAATTTATTGGCAAACTCATCCATCAACTTTTCAGTTAAACTGACGAAGTTGATTTCCTTTTAACTTCGTGTTATCGGACTATTCGGTCTGTGCTTTGTGTTGCAGTCACCGAGTATATTTACTTTGTACTCCGATAACACTGGCTTCTTGAACGATTGATTAGACAGAATGATAGGTCACTAGTTAGACTGCAGAGCTATTAGGTGTCCCAGATATAGCGAAACCCTGTCAACCCTTTTCGGTGATTCATTCGGTCAATTGTAGCTGAATACCACTTATATGGTCATAAGAAAAAGAAATAAGGCAGTAAGCCAGTAGTCCTGTTACGTCTCATTATAAAGGGAAAAGACGTATTCGTTGAAACTTTCCTTGTCAAGATGGAATTTCATTTGTTTTTCGCAAGTGCTACTGGGATATGAAGTTTATTTGAGAGTGAGGCATTCTAGAAAGCAATTTCAAAACAAAACGGAAACTCGCCATTTTAAATTTGACTCCCAAGCATGCAAGATCGAAAGTGTAGTCAACCAGTTCGACGTGGCAGCTAATAAGTCAATTGCCAGAGGGCCGATTTCTGCGACTAATTGTTTTCTATGATAAACCCATTGCTTTTCGGAAATCGGCTTGGTCAAGATTGTCAATGCACAGCAAACTGTCAAAAACTAGGTAACGTTTTCTTCCCGAGTTGCTCAAAGTGATTTCTCTGCTCCTTTTAAAGAACCATTGCGGTGCGCAGTTCCGTAGCTTAATCCTGTGGCCGTAACTAATCTTTAATACCCTAATCTGAGGGTTTTGGAATTCATGTTATCATTTTAAGTTGCGACACAAAAAATCCTACCGACAAGGGTGAACAGACATCTTCTGAGGGGAATGGTTAAATTCCTTCGATCAGTTCGCGAATCAAGAATGGAGCCGTTTGGCACGGTTCACCTGTCGATTTCTCTTATTGCACGATAACAGACGGTCGACACCAGGGTTCAAACACACTAACTCTTCCGCATGCTAAGGTGGAAATACTAGCACCGACAAAACTAGCAAATTCATTGTTACAATAATCTACAAGCTCGAATTTTGATTTCGACGGCAAGTGCATTTTTGCCATGACTGGGAACATTAATTTTCATCCCGTGAGCTAGCTTGTAGTTTTTACGTGCACTGTCTTGAGCACATGGTTGACATCCCAGCTACTTGCCGTGATTTAAAACTGTGAACAATAGATTTCGATTTATAGCCAACTTTTTCGATAATTTGACACTCAATTCAATATGTGTGTCCATTTAGCAAATGAATAATGAATGCTAATTAGTTAAAACGCAGACTGAATCATTTTGCTCCCACAACTTTACGTACCATAAAGTTGGTTGCCATGGTTACTTTTGAAGCACGGCTAAATATACATATTGTCGCGTGATACGATACCAAGGGCTGATGTTTCAGGGCAGAATTTCAGGACCATGACTAAAAAATGGCTATTTTGCCAGCCGAAATGGACTAGCGTCCAGCATTTCTGGAAAATCCATAGAGGTAACTCACGGTTTTGGACAGAGGGCCCAAACCAAAAATTCAAAACTAGCAGGTAAATCAACTAAAGATGTGATAGACAAAATTGCCCAACATTTCCTCCTACCTGTTATTTCCTCATGTGATTCTTGAGTCCAGTGAGTAGAACTTAACTGGCAACGTCTTTCTAGTATCATTGCTTTCCGCTCATGCGATGGATTCAATAAGTCGCAGTGAAGCAAGTCCAAATATAACCCTAAATTTACATTAGAAAGACCACTTACGTCCTGCAACAATCAGGTAAGGTATAAATAAAAAGTGTAAAGATGCCTTCTCTAACAGTATGCACATTTTCTCCCTTGGTTTGTGCAACCCATTCTTCAATGCGAAGATACGTGAGAGATGGGGTGGGCTGCAGGACCGTAGTCTGAAGGTCTGTTTACTTCCAAACCCAGTGTCGCCTCAGAATAAGCGGAGCTTGCGTTAAATGTCAGTCTGGAGGAAGAAAGGGAGAGAGAAGATGTAAAAATCCGGGACCTCACCTCCCACCTTCCTTATACGCCGCTAGATTTCGGCTTAACTGATTTTCCGAGGTGGCATTTCATGTGGTGTCAGTTTGCGTAAGAAGTAGTTCGTCAGGCTGAATTAGGCGACATAAACAACGGAATTATAAAGTCAAATAAAGGCCCTAGCGAGCGGTCCCAAGTGCACTGCTCCTTGTGGCAAAGTCATTAGCTCGAGATTAAAAATTTGTTTCGTCTGTTGATTAATCGACTTCGCACAGGTGGTTCGCTATCTCCTCTTCCCCTTCCAAACAAAACTTCGGGTTCACGAATTTGCAATTATCGTTATTTGAAAAGAAAAACCAATGCACCTACTCGCCAATTTCTTTTTCTTCCATGCCGTTTAACATTGCGATTTTGTGGCGGATTTAAGCATCCAGCTGCAAATCACGCTGAATGCCTTGCCAAATGAACACTTTTATTGGATAAAATTCCGCCTAATGCAACTGTGGTAGACGGTTAGGGAGTTTTGTTTTAAATTTGTCCTCGATAGTCGGCATTTTCTACGAAGGCACACTTTTCCACCCCTCGATCTTGCTATCCAGTAAACATTTTAGGGAATCCACGTTCTCAAATGCGACGAATGTGATCTTGTTGGCACTTTTTTAGCAGAACGCGGTTCCGAAATGAGATCTTATTGATGCAACTGCCATATTTCGTCTCACCATACTTACTCCTTTATTTGTTCATTAAAATCTAGTCACCATATTAAGTTACAATTATTTAAAACTCTACACGAATACAGTCTTCTAATGAATGCAACTAAAGTACTTGGGTTTGGTGCGCTCTGATAGATACGTGAACTGCGAGGTAACAAATGACTCCACGAAAACTTCCATCATGCTTCGTATTATCCAGTTTGAAGAA